CCTCCACTCCCTTCCCCAACAAATGGTGCTAAAAATAATGAATTGTCACCCAGGAATGTAGCAGGATGAAAAGGTAGATAAATGTCGAATATAAAATGCCAGTACAAATCTGCCTTTATATCAATCTATGTTTTTAGACCATGGAAAGTTGCATTATTTAATGCAGGCTGCCTCCCTAGTGCCACTTCTGATTGAAGTGGTAGTAAAATAAGCTGACTCCATGAAGCTCTGTCCAAAGATTTCCTTTTCCAGCAACTACATATTTTCTCTAAACATTCTACTCATTCTTTGGTTAATGGCTTAGAAACAATCAGTTTCCATTTTTACTTGGTAAAAAGCAATCCATGTATCTGTACGTAAGGAAGAAAGAGACAAGAAAAGAGAAATTACTCATCACTCTCTTTCACATCAATAACTAAAATTAAAAGATAATGGCCTGGCCAGTGTGGTTCAGTGATTGAGCATCGACCCATGAACCAGGAGGTCCCTGGTTCTTTTCCCAGTCAGGGCACATGCCAGGTTGTAGGTCTGATCCCCAGTAGGTGACATACAGGAGGCAACAGATCAGTAATTCTCTCTCATCATTGATGTTTCTATTTTTCTCTCCCTCTCCCATCCTCTCTGAAATCAATAAAAAACATTTTTTTTTTTTAAAGGTGATAGAATTAGCTCAACAGAAACATGACAACAAACATCCTTCTGGGTTCTATTATTATTAGTTCTAAGACCCAAACACAACGCTTTAAGAAAATATTGATTGATCATTAATGGAAATTCTAATATCTATTCATTTATTCTCTCAAATGTTTTCTGAGTCCCTATCATAACCCAAGTAGTGTATTGAGGATGAAATAATGATTAAAACACAAACCTTGCCCTCTGGGAACTTTTTAAAGAGGACAGATATTTAAACAATTCATTGTTCAGACTTGTGTAAACAGAGCAAAACAATGTGATGTGCTAAAATAGAAGCTCCAAGTGCCATAGTGACCAACATAGTCTTTAGCCTCAAGAAGTTCAGAGAGGAGCCCTAGTCAGTGTGACTCAGTTTGTTGGACGTCATCCAATACATCAAAAAAGTAGTAGGTTCAATTCCCAGTCAGGGCACATACCCAGATTGCAGGTTCGATCCCTAGTCAGGGGGAAGGGGGAAGTGGTGGAGGGCTGAGTGCAGGAGGCAACCATCGATACTTCCCTCTCATATTGATGTTTCTTTTCTCTCTCCTTCTCTCTCCTCTCTCTCTCTCTCTCTCAATTTTTAAAAAATATATTTTTATTGACTTCAGAGAGGAAGGAAGGAGAGAGAGAGATAGAAACATCAATGATGAAAAAGAATCATCGATCGGCTGCCTCCCGCACACCCCACTCTGGGGACCAAGCCTGCAACCTGGGCATGTGCCCTGACCAGGAATCAACTATGATCCTGATTCTTAGGTCAATACTCAACAGCTGAGCCACATGGGCCAGGTTCAAGTCAATTTTTTTAAATGTTTAAAAAGAAGTTCAGAGAGAAAACTGCTAAACTAAAGTCCCCAGGAGGAATGCAGTATGATCAATAAATACAGAAAAATATTTAACCAGAGACTAAGATGTTCTGTGAAAACAATAATTTGGAGTCCATGGAACCCAAAATTAACATAGGTATTCTTTTCTTTTTTTAAAATATATTTTTTATTGATTTTTCACAGAGAGAAAGGGAGAGAGATAGAGAGCTAGAAACGTCGATGAGAGAGAAACATCGACCAGCTGCCTCTTGCACACCCCCTACTGGGGATGTGCCCGCAACCAAGGTACATGCCCTTGACCGGAATCGAACCTGGGACCTTTCAGTCCGCAGACCGATGCTCTACCGCTGAGCCAAACCGGTTTCGGCAACATAGGTATTCTTAACATGGAATCATGGATGGGCTCTCAGGGGTCCATGAACTCTCTGAAATTATTATAATTTGTATGTGCAAACAGACATTTTTTTGGACACAAAGATCATTCATTACATTCTCAAAGGTAAAGAACTATTTCGCTAGGATCTTATCCTAAAAACCACTTTTCTATCTGTATTAGAGGAGAGTTCTAAGGCCTAAGGTTTTACTCAAAATAGGATATCTGGATAGCCTAGGTGTCAGAAAAGAGCTTCTGAACTTTCTATAACTTGGGGGGAAATAGTGATTTCTGAAAAGAGGACAACAAGAGAGTCCTTTCCATAGTCTAATTAAATATATTTCCCCACATACTCAGATGCCATGGTGACAGGCATCATATAAATAGACAGTGGCAGCAGGGAGTAGGTCACGGCTTGTAGTCAACATATCAGGCAGGATTAACCCCCCAACTAACGCAGCTGGCTTGTCCTTGTCCATGAGACAACGCCTGGGAATTCCATAAAAGAATTTAGAGGGGGACCTATGGCTATCTCCCCAATAACAAAAAGCTACAATAGCCAACATCATAGAAATAAAAATCACTCAAAGTGCAGGGACATTAAACAACCACATCCCATATGACAGAGGCATTTTGATCCTAGCTGACTGCTTCCTACGCACCCAAGGACTTCTGAATGTCTAATCTAACACCACATATGCCTTACCAGTCTTATTTATAAATAAAATTGAATTAAAGTTTGCAGCTCATGTATGGACAAGTAACTATACATATAAGCCTATTTGCCATGATGAGTTTCAACAGCTCCCTCAAATAAATAAGTCTAGAAGGCAAAGGAAGAGTGAAAACATGGGCATACCATTATATGAGGGCGGCACCAGCCATAGAATAGGTGGATTCTCCAGTCACATTTGTATTCACCGATTGCAATATTATACGTTATTATGGGCTCTGATGCATCACATTAGTGTGATATTTTGCAGTTTTCCTTAACACCTGCTGCTCTACATCTCACTGTATACTCTATGTATGAACACATGGAGTCAGGGTTCCAGGAGGGCTCTTTCAGTCTATCTAGGAAAAGAAGATAACCTCACTTGGCAGAGAGCTCTAGCACAAATGCCTATGCTTTAGAAGCAAGCAGTCATCCACTAATGGCACTCATATATACCTCCTCTACACTTATCCAGGGCCTTAGGCTGTCAGTCCATCGATTCTGAGATAGCACATAATTATAAACATGGCTGACATCACAGAAGTACTCAAGGACATCAAGTCAACTGACCAACATAGAACAGTCTCCTGACCCACAATTTCCTAGCCAGATGGGGAAATGTAAGAGTCAGAAAAGATAAATATAAAAGACATTTTTAAATTTCTTTAAAAGACAATTGCCTCTTTAAACAAAAATGATGGCCATGAATTGAGGGGTTTATAACCTATATAAAAGTAAAATGTATGACGATAATATCACCAAGGACAGGATATAAGGTAAAGGGAGGCGAACCATGGGAAGCCCAGGGCCACAGTGAACAGGAGAAGGCAATGTGGAACCGGCAATGTGAAGAGTGCATTAAGGAAGAAGACAATAGATGATGAGGAGGGGAGAAAATCCAGAGAAATCCCAGGGGCCAGAAATATGATAGCTAGGATAGAGAGGAAAGAAAACAGAATAACAGAAGAAAAAAAAAAAACAGAAGAGAACCAAAAGCAAGCAAAACCAACTACTTCCACCAACTCTTCAGTTACAATGTGTAACTTCATGTCAGTTATATACATAAGAGTTGTATTTGATATAAATAAATCCTAAAACTGTAACAACAGGGTTGCATCATTTTTGTGTTTCTTTCTAATCCTAAAATTCAGAGCTTAACAATCATATAGCTAATAATATTCACAGGCAAATTTAGTAGTCCTTTATATTAAAAAGAATTGTTCCTAAGAAATTGTACTAACTTTATTTCAATCTTTTTTTATCTCTCCTTAGCTCTTCTGTCTTTCAGACATTCCCTCAGTCTGAAACACTCACAAAAAAATGCTGCTAGTGCCATTTAGTGTTATTCTCCTACTCCCCCTTCACCACCATAGGCCTTAACCACAAAGATCTTGTTAATCCATTAATTAAAAATCTCTACTTCTCATTATGGACGACTAAATTTAGAAAGCCAAACTGGGTTGGGAGGAAACAAGTCACAACAAGTGAAATAAATTCAATAGAAGAGGGCAAGATTAATGACCCTTTTCTTCTTTTCTTAAAAAGCCTCTGACACTAATACACCCTTCACTGCTGAGACCACAGAGAAAGTCTCCCAGGGTGGGGTAACCATTCATCACTATAATTATCTGGAGAAGACTTATTGAACCATCAGGTCACCAAAGCCATAGGACCTATCAGCAAATGAATGAATGCCTCGGGGAATATGTCTCTCCTCTGCTTTCCTGTAAGCTCCATTTAAATTGCACCAAAGAAAGGGGTGGCAATTGAGCATTAATTGTACCCTTAGAAAAGAGCCACTTCCCGCCTGCAGGCAGGGCAGTGGCTTTACTGGGCTACCAAGGATACAAAGGCAAAAGTAAACACTGTAATTTGCTGTTTTTTGTCTCTGGCACAGGGGGAGTGGTACAATTGACACTGTCTGTAAACAGTAATAATGCCAGATGTAACACAAAGAACAGGATTCCCCCAGCTCTCCGCCCCCTCTGCACCCCCTTCTTCCTGTGACATTCCTCCTGAGATTACTCATCTTGAAGAAACACACAGAAGCCTCCCTATAGTCCATATGCTGCTACCAAATGGAATTGAGGGAGAATCCAAGTTTGTACTGACTACTCTCTCTTACTCAAAGGAAGAAGCATTGGAACTCAATAAATATTCAACTGTTTCTAACAGCTGGAAAAAAAAAAAAAAAAACAGGGAAGAGAGAGAACAAGAGAATATGGAATAGATAGGTGACATGCTCGGGTCTGGATTAGAACAAGGCTGAAATGACAAAAAAAATATAAATGAAAATAGAAGTATCCTAAACAAACTAAAAAGTTTTTTTTAAAAATCATTTTGTGCTCCAGCCTAAAAGCTCATAAAAGATATAGGAAAAGAGGAGGAATTAAAAACATCGAGTTACCTGACCAGAGTTCCCGCCAGGTGTAATGCAGGCGCACTCTACACTTCTTCTGGTAACAAAGCAGCTTATGTACTACCTGAATGCAGCGTCTGCAACAGAGAAAGAGAAAAGCTGGGATAAGCCTAAGAATATAGTGCAACTCGCCAGAGATACCCTTTCTTTAGTGAGGCAACTTTGCTGAGGCCACTAAGATGCTGGCTATAAATCAGTACACATGCAAAAGAAAGGAATGCCTACCTGCAGCCTTCCAGTGAGTAACCCCCCAACCCCCTCCCCACACACACACACACACTGCTGATATTAAAAATATTTTGCAAACAATAGAGAAATATAAATTAATTAATAAATCAATATATATTAAAAACTTTGATTCCTTTATTCTCTAGATAAACTGCATCAAAGCTACTTACCAAGAGATAAAAATTATAGTGTAAATCATCCTAATAATTTCCAAATCATTTGTTCATCATAGAAATTGTGGTGTGATCTCTCCTTGTCACTAGTTAAAGAATACCCTTACTTGAGCCATGATTTAACTTAAGAATATACAAACTCTCATCAATTTCTCCATTAAATCAATAGTCATTAGGTACCTGGTGCTAAAAGCTTTGTTGCAGTCAGCTAGGGTGGTTGGATGCTGCACATGTGTGACCACCCCTGCACAGTACATTCCAAGATGCCAGCACTTCTCACATGGCCTGGCTGGAGACAACCTGCCTGCCCCTGGCTCTCTGGAGAATGCTTTCTCTACACTGAGCCACCTTGGAGCAGCAGTGAGATACAAACAGGTCCCCCACCCCTGCTGCCACCACCTTCTGGTTAAAGGCTACTGATATCCACTAATGCACTGTTCCTGCCTCTGCAGCTACCCAACACGTGACATCATTAGCCTTGTGTCTCAACTGACACTATTTACCAAGCAGAACAAAAAATTTAACACTGCTACTACCTTAAAATTATATATTGGCTGAATGACTCCAAATTTCATTCATGCATATGTCAACATAAGACACAATTTAACCTGAAATATTCTTGTAAGGTCCCCTGAAGTCTCTATATTCTTCTGGTGCCTACCCACAGATTTGGAGCTTTCTGACTTAGTAAGAGTCCAAGTTTTCATTATAAGAGGAACTTAAAAGAGAGTTTATTCCTCAGAGACTATTTCCCCGCAGTCCTAAATCTTATGACAGCAGTGGGGATGGCAGCAAGAATCAAGGATTACAGCCAGGAGTGGAAACTGCCTGGGTTTTCCCATTTCTTTCTTTCTCGATTCTTTTCTTTCTACTTTCCCTCCATCCCTTCCTCCCTTCCTCCCTTCTTTTCTCTCTCTCTCTCTCTCTCTCTCTCTCTCTCTCTCTCTCTCTCTCTCTCTCTTCTCTCTCTCTCTCTCTCTCTCTCTCTCTCTCTCTCTCTCTCTCTCTCTCTCTCTCTCTCTCTCTCTCTTTCTCTCTCTCTTTCTCTTTTCTCCGTATAAGCGCCTTCTTCCATTATTACTTACCTATAGTATTTATATACAGATGTGAAATTATTTCATTTCTGACCCAGATCCTGGCTTTGAGTATTAAGTCTTTCTACACTCCATACTTTTTCATATTTCACCAGGAGGATTATAAAATTATCTGAAATGGTCGAAATTCATTTTGATTTCAACTTCTCATTCTGCTGTTTGCTTCTAAAAAGCAGTACATAATAATAAGTAGAGCAACAACCTGGCCTGATGCCCAGCTGGGAGCAGATAAATTCACCTAAAAAGGATTTGATGCTCCAAATGCTAAAAACTGGAAAAAGGATTGGAAGAGGGAGGAATATCTGAAAATATGCCCATAGGCAATAAGAAGAGAAGAAAGTGAATTCAGCCCAAGGCTGGGACTTTCTGCTCAGCCTCAGTCAGCTTGATGCCTCATTATCTTCTCCATCTTCCCTAACTTTAGCACATTAAATTAGGGAGCAGATGGGAGAAAGCAAGGAACTTTAGAAAAAGTTAGGAACTAGAAGGCTAGGAGGGGTCTAAAGAAAGTATTTAATGTAGACCAGGTTCATTGGCTAGGACAGTAGTCGGCAAACCGAGGTTCATGAGCCACATGAAGCTCTTTGGCCCCTTGAGTGTGGCTCTTCCACAAAATACCATGGCCTGGGCAAATCTATTTTGAAGAAATGGCATTAGAAGTTTAAGTTTGCTGAAATCGGTTTGGCTCAGTGGATAGAGCATCGGTCTGCGGACTAAAAGGTCCCAGGTTCGATTCCGGTCAAAGGCATGTACCTTGGTTGCGGGCACATCCCCAGTAGGGGGTGTGCAGGAGGCAGCTAGTCGATGAGTCTCTCTCATCGATGTTTCTAGCTATCTATCCCTCTCCCTTCCTCTCTGTGAAAAATCAATAAAATTATTTTTAAAATAAAATAATTGTGAGAGACCATCAGATCTCCTCAGGAGATAGGAATCTCCTAGCTGGGCCACTATACACATAATCTGTCTAGTTAACACAGTTCTGGCCAGGCTGCTAGGACAATGTAAGCTGAAAAGGGACCAGAATCTCTATCTCTCTGGCCTTTTCCTACCTCCTAACTGCTGCTAGTCCATATCTTTGGATTAAAACAGCCGCTCACGATCACTGCTTCAATGCATCAGCCCTCTTCCTCATGCAATGTGCCTATAAGTGATAATGAAGATATGTACAGAATCCAAATTGTGGTTATACTTTTCCCCCCTTCTGGAAAGATGTATATTATAAATCCACACCGTAAAATGCTCCCTGACACTTCTCCACACAAATTTGTTTTTTCTGAAGTATACACAGAAATTTTGTGACTACAAATGTCCTATCACTCAACTATAACATAGATTTGCACACATTAAATAAACCACAGTCTCACTTATTTGTGGAATATAATGAATAACATAAGCTGGTGAACAAAAATAGATTCAGACAAATAGAAGCATCGAACTGACCATCAAACCTCAGAGGGAAAGCAGAGGAGTGTGGGAGGGGGAATAAGAGATTAACCAAAGGATGTGTATGCATGCATATAAGAATAACCAATGGCTGAGACTGGTTTGGCTCAGTAGATAGAGCGTCGGTCTGCGGACTCAAAGGACCCGGGTTCAATTCCAGTCAAGGGCATGTACTTGATGTGGGCACATCCCTAGTGGGGGGTGTGCAGGAGGCAGCTGATCGATGTCTCTCTCTCATCGATGTTTCTGGCTCTCTATCCGTCTCTCTTCCTCTCTGTAAAAAATCAATAAAATATATTTAAAAAAAAAAAAAAAAAAAAGAATAACCAAGGAAGCAAACAGTAGGGAGTGAGGGCCTTGCTGATGAGCAGGAGTGGGCTGGGAGAGGTCAATGGGGGGAAAAGGAGACATACGTAATACTTTCAACAACAAAGAATTTATTTAAAAACAAAAAACCATGGTACTTACACATAGAGATCCATAGGAAACTCCTTCATCATGTGTGTTACAATAAACTCTACCATCAGGTCTGAATAGGGAAAGGAGAAAAATTAAATCAATCAGAATTAAATTCATTCCTTGCTTTTGAGCTGGAAAAATACATCTGAGTACACCATGTACTCATACTGAGTGGCATCCATTAAGCACATCTTTATTCACATGAACTTAAAATTTATTTTTACATAAGGCACTTTTGCAACACTTTTCACCACCTGCCACTTGTAAAATAACAAGAAAATTAGTTCACTCTCTTACTTCCAGAAGGATGCCTTGACCTGCCAATAAATTCAGAATCAAGGGAGAGTTCGCTTTACAAGTTTTTCATACCATGGTACTAATACAAAAAGCCAGAGGGGACTCGTATTCTGAGAACTCAGTGATGAGGTACTACTCTGTTTCCCCAAAAATAAGACAGTGTCTTATATTAATTTTTGCTCCCAAAGATGCGCTAGGTCTTATTTTCAGGGGATGTCTTATTTTTCCATGAAGAAGAATATGGTACACATTTATTGTTAAATGAAAATAAAGGAAATTTATTACCTGTATACGGTAGTACGGTAGTTGTCAACACAAACCAGACAAACTGTGAATCCTACAGTATCAAGAATTTACTCATTTATTCAATGACAATCATGTTATCATCTTCTGGAACATCATCATAACAATCCAATTCCTGGATTTCCTGGTGAATTTCTTGTGACTCCATTTCTTTCAGAATCAGTGGACCAAATCTCTCATGTTTAGCCTTGGGGGGAGCCTTATTTTCGGGGGAATGCCTTATATTTCACTCAGAAGGAAACCTGTAAGTAGGTCTTATTTTCGGAGGATGTCTTATTTTTAGGGAAACACGGTAGTAATCAGAGAGGAAATTATGGATCACATCCATGTAACCAGAGACTCAGCTTTAAAGCAATGTCTATCTCATGTCACTATTAGATATTGACTGAAAAGGTCCATTAGGCTTTGGATCAATAGAAGTTTATTATAGAGTCTCTTGAAGTGCCCGGCTAGCTCAGTCGGTAGAGCATGAGACTCTTATTATAGAGTCTTAATTGTTTCTAAAGTCAAGTAGATTTAGGAACTAGGGCTTAATATTCAAATGAAATGAGATTAAGAGTTCAGATAATTCCCCGAGGAAAATGCAGCATTCTAACAAAATTATCTAAGCTATAACTCTGTCAGTCTCATCTCAGTTTATTTATTCAGAGGAAGTTTTGCAGGCCTTGAACTTCAAGACTCCTGGTTAGCTGACATAACCATTTCAACCAAGAAAGGGAGGGAAGAATTTGAAATCTTGATCAGGAATAAGATATTTTACAAATGTAAATCATGTCTCAAGCTTAGACTTAGTCATCTATCTTCTTAAAAATATCTTTTTCTTTGAACAAGAGCACCCTTTAATTGAGCATTTTATTCATTGGAACTGCTTTACCAAACTCAACAAAAAATATGGTTTCTTAGGCCAGGGAAGAAACATAACTAATAAAAACTTCTCTGAGGAAGAAGTATAATATATCAGCCAGTATTTATGGCTCATCTTAATCATAAAAACCTGTCACTGACTCAGAAAAATACAATTATGATGCTACTCACCCAGGACTGCACATACTAACGGACGGCAGGGAAGGTTCTTGTCCGCTGCCTTCTTCCTGTGCCGCATAGGCTTCACACAGAAAAGAAATAAAATGAATAGGCGTCTGAATTGACATCCAATGGCTCATCACCATGGGTTTCATGCCAATAACATCACTACTACAGAGATGCTATCTTTTCTAGTGGTGGGGGTGGGGTGGGGCAGGGAGGACCAAAACGCTACTCAGTTATCAATGCAAGCCTATGGTAAAAACACAATTCACAGCAAAATAACAGCCCCAAAGGGTACTAGGAGATACTACACAATGGAAAAGCTGTTGTTTTTTACTTTGATTTTACAAGCGACATTACTAACAATAAAAAGAGGTATACTAATATTTTTCATTGATAAAATAATAAGGAAAAAGGGGGACAAAGGGACTGTGTAAAGGCAGCAACAGAGGCAGTTACAAAAAACAAAAGTAGCCCAGCCAGTGTGGCTCAGTGATTAAGCATCAACCTATGAAACAGGAGTTCATGGTTCGATTCCTAGTCAAAGCACATTTCCAGGTTTCGGGCTAAATGCCCATAGGGGGCATGCAGGAGGCAGCTGATCAGAGAGTGATTCTCATCATTGATGTTTCTATTTCTCTTTCCCTTTTCCTTTCTCTCTCTGAAATTAATAAAAACATATTTTTAAAAATATTTTTAAGTAAATTTCAGATATAAACCTCTATGTGATATTTTTTAACATACCTCCAAGTTTTAGGAAATTTCCTGATCCTTCATATTCTATTTCCCTCACTACTTAGATGAATAAGCAAAGCAGCATTTAGTCTTAACTAGCCAAAGATCATAGTACATTTTGAAAACAAAAGGCTAGGACCACCTCCTTGTTAAAATCTATGTTACTTATACATTATAATACTACTACCATGGGTAATAATCCATCCTCTCTTGAGTAAGAAACAGCTCCATGACACACACAAAAATCCTGACAACAGGCATAGGTTTGTTGAGTAACAGTCAACTAAGAGCCCTTTAGCACAACATTCCAACCACATTTGTTGTAAGTAGGATCAAGTTCATCTACCCCAATCCTGCCAATACAAAAATAAATTCCCTCTAAGAAAAAACAAGAAGCAAAAAGTCATACCTACCATTTTATGTAAGTTTACTCGAAAATTCATGTTGTCATCATGCAAAAATGCATTGGCATACTGATCCTAATAAAAATAAAAATATCGATAGAGAGACAAAGTAAGGAATGAGAGCCATACTTCAGTTTATAATCTATCACACTTCCTACAAATCCTTGGTCTTTAGGAACTACTTTCAAGGACCAACTGGAGAGCTAACAGGATGAACCTAGAGCCTTTATGTCAAACCCTTCTTAAGCCATGAGACTTTACTATGGAGTAATTCTCAGTATGTCTCTAACTGGCCCAGAAACTCTAAGCAAATTACACACAATAAAAATTAAGGCACAGCCGAAACCGGTTTGGCTCAATGAATAGAGCATCGGCTTGAGGACTGAAAGGTCCCAGGTTCGATTCCGGTCAAAGGGCATATACCTTGGTTGCGGGCACATCCCCAGTAGGGGGTGTGCAAGAGGTAGCTGATCGATGACTCTCTCTCATCGATGTTTCTAACTATCTCTCCCACTTCTTCTCTGTACAAAATCAATAAAATATATTAAATTAAAAAAAAAAACTAGCTGTGCAAACCACAGCTTTAAAAAAAAAATTAAGGCACAAGGACTTGAAGCAAATGCTGAGAGGAATCTGTTTTCCTATTTTTTCTTCCTTCCCATCTGCCCAAGGAGCCTACTCTGTCTGTGACAGCTTGGAGGTCTCTATAGGGACTGCAGGATGCATGTGCAGGCTCCACAGGAGGATCTACAGTTGAGAAGAAAGGTCTGCAGTCCATTGGGAACGGCTTTGGCATAGCAGAAGAAAACTGCTACCCAGGCAGCATGGCAGTAGGCAAGACCCTGTCCATCTCTGGCTTCACCAAAGACTGGTGGGCAATCAAAAACATCTTACTATGGATCAGTAATAAATATCCCTTGGCCCTTCCCAACACCTTAGCTGAAGATCTGACATGCCTACAGACTAATTACTAAGAACTGTTACAATTTGTGAAAAGCAACTCCTTTAAAGATTTTCTTAGAGCCCAGCCAGCATGGTTCAGTAGTTCAGCATCAACCTATGAACTAGGAGGTCACAGTTCAATTCCCAATCAGAGCACATGATCTTTTGGGCTTGATCCCCCATGGGGATTGTGCAGGAGACAGCTGATCAATGATTCTCATCATTGATGGTTCTCTCTCTCCCTCTCCCTTCCTGAAGTCAATAAAAATATTTTTAAAAATATTTTCGCCGAAACCGGTTTGGCTCAATGGATAGAGCGTCAGCCTGCGGACTGAAGGGTCCCAGGTTCGATTCCGGTCAAGGGCATGTATCTTGGTTGCGGGCACATCCCCAGTGGGGAATGTGCAGGAGGCAGCTGATCAATGATTCTCTCTCATTGATGTTTCTAACTTTCTATCTCTCTCCCTTCCTCTCTGAAAAAAATCAATAAAATATATTTTTAAATATTTTTTTCTTAGATTTTTTTTTTTAAAGCAATTACACTCAGCCCACTGCTAACCAGCAGCTCTTCTATAACAAGCTATCCCTAACCTAGGGAAAAAAAGGTCATCTTTTCACAGAGAACATAAAAAGGAAAAGAATGAAAGAGATCTCTATTCCACATAGACTACCTTTAATGTTTTAACGAAGGGGGAGGTTGAAACTACAAATTTAGCTTTAAAATTGAATCAAGTTCTGCCATACCTGTATTGCCACCAAGATCCAGGATGAGTTCAGGACTACTAGTAGTTAACCAAGCAAAACTACCTTCTTACAAAGCAAAAGCATCTCTTCTTTTACTCCTCAGACTCTTGTTCATCAAACCGCACTCAGCCCAACTTCACTCACTTTCCAATTGCCTTCTTTGGTTTTTCTCTCCTCCTCCCCCCACACAGAAACCTGAGCTCCTTTTTTCATTTTGTGAAGTGGAAAAGACCCAATCTGAGCAGCTTCAAAGGGGCAGGATTATTTTTTCTAGAGTTAGGTCTCTGAAACTGTTACGTATTATATCTCCCTCACCAGTCTAGTCTCAGTGTCTGGCACATAGTAGAGGCTCAATTAATATTTACTGCATGAACTGATTAATTATGACATGAATCTGCCCTGGTCTGTTGCTCAATGGTTAGAGTGTTGGTGCTCAAACTGAAAGATCAAGGGTTCGATTCCCGGTCAAGGGCATGTACTTTGGTTGCAGGTTCAATTTCTGGCCCTGGTCAGGATGTGAGCAGGAGGCAACGAATCAATGTTTCTCTTTCACACTGATGTTTCTCTCTCTTTCTCTCCTACCCTTTTCACTCTCTCTTAAAAAAAAAAAAAATAGTGCCGAAACCGGTTTGGCTCAATGGATAGAGCGTCGGCTTGGGGAATGAAAGGTCCCGGGTTCGATTCCAGTCAAGGGCATGTACCTTAGTTGCGGGCATATCCCCAGTAGGGGGTGTGCAAGAGGCAGCTGATAGATAACTCTCATCATCGATGTTTCTACCTCTCAATCTCTCTCCCTTCCTCTCTGTACAAAAGCAATAAAATATATTTTTTTAAAATAGTAATAAGAGCTAGAACCTTCCAGTTCTCAATTACAGCATAACATAATTCATTAATTCATGCAGTAAATAATAATTGAGCCTCTACTATGTGCCAGACATTGAGACTAGACTGGTGAGGGAGACATAATACCTGCTATCAGAGCTTACATTTTAGCAAGAGGAGACAGACAATAAAAATGGGTATATTTTCTCTCCCAAGCTTTAGGACCCTAAAAGTCAGAAAATGGGTGAAAAGGGCAGAAAAATAGCACTCTTTAAGAAATTAGCTAATACCAGAAGATGGATGAAACCTACCTCCGCAATACATGTGAGGATAATCAGGCAGAGTTTGCCACTATGAAGCCGGTGCTCATCTGTAAAATAAAAATAAAACCCTTCTCTCTAAATCATCCATACCATGTTTCTATTAGAAGTGAATAAAGATGTGTATCATCAAAAAGAACATTCATTCTTTCTTTCCCCACAAAAATTCATGAATCAAGGTTTTACTAGAGTAATTCTTGCTTTTCTTCTAGGCAAAAGAATGCCCCCAGAAGATTATTTTTCTTAAATATTCTTGGTAGTCTGATGGACAGCTAACTACCTTCTGAGAGTCATCTAATTACTGTAATGGTTCTACTGTCATGGCCCAAATCATAGCCATGTCCTTTGCTTTCATGTCAGCCCTTTGCTTCTCAATAGTCAGGTCCATTCCCTTTCCAACACTTCCTCATCCACTAGCCATTAGCAACACCATCTATACCCACCTAACTATTCATAGCAAATTGGCAGCGGACTCAGAAAGGAACTAATTGGAGATCAGGGTCAAGCCCATGCTTCTCCTTGCACTGTGCACATTATTTACAAACAGGAAAGCTGTGAACTGGATCATTCTTCTTCCTGCCAAAGTCATTCACTCTATATACTTACTTAGTACCTACTATACAGCAGGCAGTGCACTGGGCACTGAACAAAACAAAGGACCCCAGTCTCCCAGAACTCACATTCTAGTTATTAAAAGAGAAGAAAACAACCTTGAGAGTAAGGCTCTAAGACCACACTCAGAACCAAGAAAGAGCTACTGAATCTTCTCCATTTACCAGATCCATCAAAGCTTATTTATTTTCAAGGATCTTTGTGGGTGAGGGGGTGAAATGGAGGTAAGAAGAGGTGCACACCAAATTATCCAGAATAGACAAATGGCTTATGATGTTTCAGATTAGCTCTGACAGGACAGATTGAAGTTCATTCTGGAGAGGAGATCTATTAACAGATTACAGTGCTATAGTAAAGTGAGCTAACAGTACTTACCCTAACATTAACCTGCTACTTCCTCAAAGATGGAATCTATCAACTAAAACCTGACAATTAAAAAGCATAATGGAGGTTATAGTCCAGAAATACATTTACGTACCTCTCCTCAGAGATAGGCAGTGCAAAAAGAGTCACGATGAAAATCCCCAGCTGACATTCCCCACAGTTTACATCAGAACTCCCAGGCAGGGGAAGAGAAGTGCCCCTGCCATGCAAATCTAGATTCACAACACTCTTCCATCTCTACCTCCGGCCATTGAGTTTCACTGGCATTGTTCTCCCTTCCCCCAAAATCTGATGAACAACTCTATAGCTATTTCTCCACTTTTAAAAATAATGTTTCTTAATGCAAAAATAAGGCATATTTTATTATGAACATTTTTTAATTCAGAAAAGGACAATAAAAACTAAGCTTAATCATACCACCCAGATGTCCTATCTGTTAAGATTTTGGTGAATCAACTTGCAGTCCATGTATAGATATACATGTATTTTTAAATATTTTTGCCTAATATCTATTTTTAAGATTAAGCAGATTCTCCTTTAAAGTGACAATACTCAAGTCAGAAGAACCTGGGGGGGAGAGGGGAAGACTTTGAAAGCAGAGCCAAATCAAGGGAGAGAGAAACACAAAATTCTAGAGAATTGAGAGGAAAGGAATAACTGAGAGGAAAGGAAACACACAGGTAGCTTCAATATCATTAATAATTGCTTAAGTTGAGTGGTAGGGTCACATATGTTCACTTCATTATTACATATTATAATGTATGTTATTTATTATAAACTTCATAACAATATTCATATATATTAAAAGTATATGTATTTATACCTATAATAACAAAAGCATAATATACTAACTAGATCAGACATCCTTCCAGATATCCCTCTGGACGACCTTCCAGATGAAGCCAGGGCTGTGAGGGAAAGCCCAGGTCCTGGGTGCCAGGGGAAAACTGGTGCCAGCAGTCAGAGGAAGGAAGGCCTACTCTTGCAAGAATTTTGTGCATCAAGCCTCTAGTGTGTGTGTGTGTGTGTGTGTGTGTGTGTGTGTGTGTGTGTGTAGATAGATAGATAGATAGAGAAGAAAAAAAGGTAATTCCTAGAAAAGGTGGGGGCATGGGAAGAAGAGCCAAGAATAAATGGCTTCTATGCTCCCCAAAACATAATGAGATCTCTTTATCAAGGGCATGCAGGTCAGGAGCTTAAGAGACATGAAGAAAGCCAGTCCAATAAAGCCACACAGGAGCCATTTTTGAAATGAACGCTTCATCGTACCTAACCTTGCCCCTTGCCATATTTAGGCTGCTTGTTGGCAAAGACCTAATTCAAATTGTGTTTAGAAAAACAGCCTGAGGCAAACCATAGTGCAATTAATCTGCCCTCAATTTTGCCTTCCATTTTATGGATGGCAAAATGATCAGGACAAAGAGGTTTATATAATCATTAAAGCTAAAAATGAGTTCCCAGGGCCTCAATTCACTGTGTTATATCAAGCAAAGCTAAAAGATCATTTTCAGGGTCACATCTATAATTTCTCTTTGCTGCAATATGTTGAGAGGTTACCCCTTCCCATAAAGGAACAGGTTACCCCTTCCCATAAAGGAGAAACGATGGCCTCCGGAAACACTGATACACCAGAGTTGTCTTATCCTTGCCTGGCTGATCTCACTTGCCAAGTCCCAAAGGTTCACCATCTCTGCAGCTCCCAAAGGACTGCCCTATGTTAGGAGTTTGTGATATGAGCTTCTTTCTCTTGAAAGAGCACCATCACAAGGCATAACAGAAGAAAAAGTCTAAGTTTATAAGGCAGAAATCTCCGAGAGCTAATGCATTATGTACGAGTGTAACAGAATTTAGATTCTACCAATCCAACTTCCTTTGAACTCTGGCAATTTATTTCCCTTATTTATCTTTTCGTTTTCTAGCTCTGTCTACCAACGTTTTCTTCTAACTCCAAAAGACCCCATATCCTGGTCTTACCCTCTTAGCTGCTTTTCGGCTCCATTCTGGACTTACTAAAACCTGCCCAGCACACCTGGCAAATACTTAATGCCTAAGGGAATCTTAAACTACCTCACAAAGCATTAGTCTCTCCTCATGGAAAGTAAAGTGACAAAAGCAATAGTATTTTAGCAACTTTGTTTCTGCAAGGAAACTGGATTTTTTGTTATCTGGGAATTTGAAGCTTATCCATAGACCATAATTTAAGAACCCAAAACAAATTTCAACTACTGAGCAGAGAGAACAGTTGGTTTCTAAAATAGGATTTAAAGATTCTTACAAGAAAGGCTAATTTTAAAAAAGAATATACACCAACTTGTTAAGAATAATTAATTCTAAAAAGTTTCATTCCAAAACAATTTTACTTTGCTAGTTAACCATTGCTAGAATGTTTTATCTTTAACAAATACTATTCAAATTACTTCTGTTATTAGGGAACAAATATCTTTGTAAATGGGAGAAGTCCATTGGATCAACCAGTAGGTACTAAATAAAATGCTAGTTAAAATATTCATTAAGCTGAAACCGGTTTGGCTCAGTGGATAGAGCGTCGGCCTGCAGACTGAAAGGTCCCAGGTTTGATTCCAGTCAAGGGCATGTAACTTGGTTGCGGGCACATCCCCAGTAGGGGGTGTGCAAAAGACAGCTGATCGATCTCTCATTGAGTTTCTAACTATCCCTCTCCGTTCCTCTCTGTAAAAAATCAATAAAATATATTTTTAAAATATTCATTAAAATTCTATGTGTGGCCCGGGATATGTGTCTCAGTGATTGAGCATCAACCTATGAACCAGGAGGAGGTGGTTCCATTACCATTTGAGGCACCATGCTCAAGGTTTTGGGCTTAATCCCCGGCAGGGGGCATGCAGGAGGCAGCCAATCACTGACTCTCATCATTAATGTTTCTATCTCTCTATCCCTCTCCCTTCCTCTCTGAAATAAAAAATATTTTTTTAAAATACTATGTGTGGCTAAGAAACTATCAGTTATGAAAAACATTTTTGGGACAACTGGGAAAAACTAAATACCAATTGAATATTACATGATATTGGAGAATTATTGTTGATTTTCTTAGCTATAATAATGGATATCTTGGAAAAGTCTTTAATTTTGAGATACATGCCAAAGTACTTAAGGTGTGAATGATGTCTACAACTTACCTTAAAATGATTCAGCCAAAATAATAACAACACACAAATAAATTTAGAGACAAACCAAATACGGCAAAATGTTAATGGGTACATGGATGATCATTGTATGATCCCTTCAACTTCTCTGTTTATTGGAATTTCTTCACTTTTTTTTTTTAATTTCTTCACTTTAAAAAATTGGAGGAAAAGTACTATCTAAAAGGTTTATTTCCAGAGAATCCCACTTATATGAGGTACCTTGAGTAGTCAATTCATAAAGACAGAAAGTAGTATGGTGGGTGGGAGGAAGGTAAATGGAGGTGGAAGAGGGCATAGAGGGGATAAATGGTGATGGAAAAATAAAATAAATTAATTAATTTAATTTAATTAAATTACATAAATAATGGGAACTGAGTTCCTGATCAGTAAGGCAAAAAAAGAAAGGAGGGAGGGAGGGATGGAGGGAGGGAGGGAGGGAGAGAAAGAGAGAGAGAGATTGGAATGGTGGTGGGCTGGGGAAAGGAGAGAATATAGAGAATGCAAGTTACTGTTTAACAGAGTTTCAGTTTTGCAAGATGAAAAGAGTTCAGGAGATGGTGATGATGGCTGCACAACAATGTAAATGTACTTAATGCCACTGAACTGTACAGTTTTGAGTGGTGGGTTTTATGATATGTATATTTAGCACAATGAAAAAATAATAGAAATAAATAAAAATTGTGAACACAGATATATGTAGTATAAAGAAAAAAACTGAGTTAAAAAAACACACAAAACTGAGATATATACTGAATGGAATTTGCCAGGTTTCTCCCAATCCTTTTTCACTCCTAGCCCAAAGATTCTACTACCCTACCAACCAATGAAAAGGTCATAGGAAAACCATAAACAGAAAGTACAGGAACCCAAACAGAAACTAAAACTTTCCCATCACCCATTTTTCTCCCAATTTCTACTCTGCATTTCTGGATGGGTACTGACACTTGTATTTTAGGTGTTAAGGAACACAGTCCCACTGGATCTCACCTCTTCCTACTGTACTCTGCAACAGTCATCTAATTCTCACCACAAGCTGGTGCCTTCAATTCTTGTCCTCAAAAGGGAATTCCCTGAAGTATGCTAATCCCACTTCCCACACAAAGGAGTTTGCATCTACTTACCAAAATCTGCTCAGAAGACTTGCTAGTTTTTGTAGAGACCTTTTTTTTTTTTTCTGTTCTATTTGTAGCACTCTCCCTCCAGTTCCAGGTTTTCCTAACACCACATAACTGCCATCTGGCAGTGAGAAATCACTGTTTTCCAGCAATCAGGGCCATCACCCTGTACACCCAATAGTTCATCTGTGGAAGCTTCAAAATATTAATGTTGCTCCTTGATTCTAGCTAAGAATTCTGCCACACCCTCTGCTTTCTGAGCCCCCAAAACAGCATGTCTTCCTTACCTTTGGTGTCCTGCATGACGATCGAGCTATATTTTAAGAAGGTTATCAGTAGATTACTGGTCTGTACATCTGCATCCAGTGGGAGTTCCACAGAACTTATAACTGCAATAGAATAATGAAATGCAGTTAGTCTATATTACTTAACACTTCTATCTCCATAGCTAATTTCCAGCAGACAAGGAAATCACTAAATAAGCCTTTTTTTCCCCCCCAACAGAGAGATCAAGTGCTTATCATAAAACCTTTATCTTCCTAGGCCACTGGAGTCCTTCCTACTTCCAAGATTAACCCAATGCTCTTCTCTCCTATCTAGGAGGGCCAGTCTTCATGAACAGTGCTTTTATCCCAACATCCTAAGAAGGGTATTTTTTTCAGTTACAGTTTACATTCAATATTATTTTGTATTAATTTCAGGCATACAGCACAGTGTTTAGACAATCAGATACTTTTCAAAGTATTTCCCCCAATATTTCCAGTATTAAAAAGGGTATTTTGATTCCACTTCTAACTCCAAATAACACCAAAAGATTCAGGGTCCTTCTTAAAGGCACTTTGATTTGTACCTAAGGGTAAGATCGGTACTGAATATAAAATGAGTTTTGCTTTGATGACTCTCCTGCTTAAAATAAATGACAATTCTTTCTTAATAAGGAGGAATCTTGCTCAATTTTGAAAATAAGCATTTAGGCTGGAAATACCCAAGATTGAAGGCAGAACTACATTCAAATGATATTCCTTAGTCCCTTACCCGCAGTGAAAGGGAGCCTAAAAGGAAACCCCAGAAAATAGGAGGACATTATTATTTGAGACAGCCTGGGAACTGACTTTTATACACCCAGCTGCTTGCTGTTTCCCAAAGAAACTACCCTTCCACATTCTCTAAGTCACAGTCCCAATGACCAGCGAAGGACCAGACCAGGGCTGACCTGCGCTGAACAATCTTACGTAAATTCTCCAAGTTTCTAGGACTTTAAATTAGACTTACACGTTTTGTTAAGTGCTTTTATACTAAGATACAATATATAAGCAAAAGGAGGCTCATAATAGTCCAGACAAGTTGAGAATCAATAGCTTTCTACTGTATTTCCATCCATGAAGACTCAACTGAGTTTGGGATATTATTCATAATATGCATTCATACTGTAATGGATCCCTTTGGAGTTGTTATGATATATGCACAGAATGTTTATTCACAATGGGAAGTACTTGCATATTATCAACCCATAATACAGAGCAAGCACAGCCAAAAGCCTCATGAGAAGAAGTTAGCATGCCTCACCCATGGCAGTTTTCCCACAGGTCAGCCCCCAAGAACTAATAAAAGACAAATACAGCCCTAGCCAGTCTGACTCAGTGGATAGAGTGTCGGCCTGTGGACTGAAGGGTCCCGGGTTTGATTCCAGTCAAGGGCACATGCCTGGTTTATGGGCTCAATCCCCGGGTAGCCAATCAATGATTCTCTCTTATCATTGATGCTTCTATCTCCCTCTCCCTTCCTCTCTGAAATCAATAGAAATATATATATATTTTTTAAAAGACAAATATAGCCAAAACTGGTTTGGCTCAGTGGATAGAGCGTCAGCTTGCGGACTGAAGGGTTCCAGGTTCGGTTCTGATCGGGGGGCATGTGCCTTGGTTGCGGGCACATCCCCGGTGGGGGCAGTGCAGGAGGCAGCAGATCGATGTTTCTCTCTATTCCTCCCTCTTCCTCTCTATAAAATATATATTTTTAAAAATAAAAAGACAAATATATTTTTATTTTGAAACTAGAGGCCACATGCATGAAATTCATGCACTGGGGGGTGTCCCTCAGCCCAGCTTGCACCCTCTTCAATCTGGGATCCCTCTCACAATCTGGGACTGCTGGCTCCTAACCGCTCGCCTGCCTGCCTGCCTGCCTGCCTGCCTGCCTGCCTGCCTGCCTGCCTGCCTGATTGTTCCTAACTGCTTCTACCTGCCAGCCTGATCACCCCCTAATTGCTCCCCTGCCAGCCCGATCGCCTCCAACTGTCCTCCCCTGCTGGCCCAACTGCCCCCAACTGCCCTCCCCTACCAGCCTGGTCACCCGGTGGAAGCCACGCAGAGCAACAGCGGGGACCTATCCCCCCAGCGGGGCTGAGGGAACTCCGGGGAAGCCGCGCAGAGCAGCAGCCACGACTGCCCTCTAGCAGGGCTGAGGGAACCCAGGCGGCAGGTACATGGAGTGGCCACTGGACTCCCACCACCCCACATGCCACAGGGACTGAGGTGGCCGGCATACGGAACAGCTGGCCCCGACACCCCTGTGCACGCCACCATCTTATGATGGTGTTACGGAGTGAGGGTTAATTTGCATATTACCTCTTTATAATATAGGATACTAAAAGGTCTTAATTTATGCTACAGGTAAATGACTTGAAACTGTCATTTCAAACTACTATAGCCTATTTTGAAGCTCAGAAACCATAATCATTCTTCTGTCCAATACATCTAACTTTTAAATGGGAATTTTTTCCCCATCCACTCACAGCAATAAATGGAAAACTATCTGTATATATGAAAGCCAAGCAACTAGAATGCCGGAACAACTCAAACGATTGGTTGCAATTATATACACTGTGGCATCCAACCAGCCTGATCAGGGCCCAACTCGTCCTGAACCTCCCACAGCCCCTCCCCCTGTCCGGCCCAGCCTCCGATCAACCCCCCCAAACCTGATTGGAAATGGGGATGACCAACCAACCTCCTACAGCCCCCCTACCAGCCCACCCCTAATAACCCCTCCATCAGGGCAGAGCCAGCAGATCTCTCTCGGCTTCTCTCCCCACCAGCCTGGCCCTGATCAGCCCCCATTGGGATGGACCAGCCGGACCCCACCCGTGCACAAATTCATGCACCAGGCCTCTAGTCTTATGTAATATGTAGAAATATAGAAGTATATGTATTTTTACTTTACCAGAAAGTCCTCTTATGCCAAGGCTGAGTTGTCAAATGTCAAGTCTGAGCTGAGAACAAATGTTACAGCTAAACTGTTGGCTTTGAGTGATATACCTTTAAATATAACTGAGCTACTGAACACTACTATAATTAAAAAGCAAAACCTGCCCTAACCAGTTTGGCTCAGTGCATAGTGCATCAGCCTGCAGACTCAAGGATTCCAGTCAAGGGAATGTACCTTGGTTGCAAGCACATCTTCAGTAGGGGGTGTGCAGGAGGCAGCCGATTGATGTTTCTCTCTCATCAATGTTTCTAACTCTCCCTTCCTCTCTGTAAAAAAATCAATAAAATAGCCAAAACCTGTTTGGCTCAGTGGATAGAGCGTCAGCTTGTGAACTGAAAGGTCCCAGGTTCGATTCCGGTCAAGGGCATGTACCTTGGTTGAAGGCACATCCCAGTGGGGGTGTGCAAGAGGCAGCTGATCGATGATTCTCTCTCATCGATGTTTCTAACTCTATCCCTCTCTCGTCCTCTCTGTAAAAAATCAATAAAATCTATTTTTTTAAATCAATAAAATATATATATTTTTAAAAACATCTGAAAACAAGCTTATAATATTTAGGATCCCTATAGAAAAGAAATTAATAGAGGAAAAAAGAATAAAAATAGCCCTAACCAGTTTGACTCAATGAATAGAGCATCAGCTCGTAGTTTGAAGAATCCCAGATACAATTTCAGTCAAAGGCACATACCAGTTGCAGCCCTGATCCTGGTGAGGGTGCATGGGGGAGGCAACTAATCAATGTGTCTCTCTCACATCACTATTTCTGTCTCTCCCCCTCCTTTTCATTTTCTCTAAAAACCAATAGAGCCGGGACCAGTTTGGTTCAGTGGATAAAGCGTCGGCCTGCGGACTGAAAGGTCCCGGGTTTGATTCCGGGCAAGGGCATGTACCTTGGTTGCGGGCACATCCCCAGTGGAGGGTGTGAAGAGGCAGCTGATCGATGATTCTCTCTCATCGATGTTTCTAACTCTCTATCCCTCTCTCTTCCTCTCTGTGAAAAATCAATAAAAAAATATTTTTTTTAAAAATGAATAAAAATCAATAGAAAAATATCCCTGGGTGAGGATTAACAACAAAAAGAACAGAATAGAAGAAAGAGAATAAAAATCCCTCACAAATTAAAATCTCCTTCCTGAGGAAATTATTCCTTGATCTCTGTCTTCATAATTCTTTCCAACAGCCTTTGTCAAGGGAGACAGTCATTTGAAAGTGGGCTGACTCCATCTTCCCACTAGAAAAAATAAAAAGCTCACTAGTTGTAGGTAAGTAAGCACAAATCCTGCCATTGCATAATCAAGTGTGTGGGTGGAAGTGCTCACAATGAACAGTTTGAAAGGCAGTTCTCTGAAGCTTCCAAAGCCCAACATCACATGGAACTCAGATATGTGTGTGTGTGTGTGTGTGTGTGTGTGTGTGTGTGTGTCCATGGTAACCAGGCAGGCTTTATCTTTAAAGAGAAAGAACAGTATTTCCATTGGATTATTCAGTGACCTGAATAAGCAGAGACAATTAGGCAATCCTCGCTACTTGTTCCTTCTCATTAAAATATTTTGGAATTTGTCTTTCAATTTTAAACAGATCCAATTTGCCTCCATAGACCTGAATATCAACAGCACCTCCTTGTCATGCTTCTGCATGAATACTGCTTTATTACCTTGAAATGCTACTGCTACAAGTCCAATATGAAAATTTAAATGCGAAAAAGCAGATCAAAGAAGGCCTTTCATATAGACACAATAGGGAGGCACCAAAAAAAGATCAAAGTTAGATTTCCTGTATCTCATTTTTTTTTAATATGTTTTTTTTTTTTTAATTTTAGAGAGAAAGGAAGGGAGAATGAGAGGGAATCATCAATAGGCTGCCTCCTGCATGGCCTACACTGGGGATTGAGCCCAAACCCCAGGCATGTGCCCTGACAGGAAATCAAACTGTGACCTCCTGCTTCATGGATTGATGCTCAACCACTGAGCCACACCTGTCAGGCTGACTTCCTGTATTTCTTTACCCAAAATGAGGTCAACATTTGAGGCAAAATACCAAGTATTAACAAAGATTATTTTTTGGGTAAGGTAGTCCATCAAACACACTCAGCTTACAGTAAAACTAACTCAGGTGATACACAGTCTATTGTACAAATTTCTTTTCTGTTACCTTTTTCTTAAGTTACAACCATAAGATTTATACAGTGGAAGGTGTTTATTTTTTATTTTTTAGGGGGAAAAGTCTTAAATACCCACTAAATTCCCATCAAATCTAATAATTTTCTAAGGGGGAGTGGCAAACAAATACATAACAGTGAATAAATCCCAGGTTCACTCTCTCCTTCATTTCTTCAACAAATATTTACTAAGTAATAACCATGTCAGGCACTATGCTGAGCAGAAAGAAGTGACAAAAATATACATGGTTTCCTGCCCTGATTCATGTCTTGGTTTTTTTTGGGGGGGGGGGGGTTTGTATGTGTGTGTGTTTAAATATTTTTTATTGATTTTCTTACAGAGAAGAAGGAAGAGGAATAGAGAGTTTGAAATATCAATGAGAGAAAAACATCGATCAGCTGCCAACTGCACACCCCCTCCTGAGCATGTGCCCGCAGCCAAGGTATATGCCCTTGATCGGAATCGAACCCAGGACCCTTGAGGTAGACCCTGTGGAGGCCAACACTCTATCCACTGAGCCAAACCAGTTTGGGCCATATCTTGGTTCTTTTTTTTTTTTTTTTTTTTTAATATATATTTTATTGATTTTGTACAGAGAGGAAGGGAGAGAGATAGAGAGTTAGAAACTTCGATGAGAGAGAGTAATGAATCAGCTGCCTCTTGCACACCCCCTACTGGGGATATGCCCGCAACCAAGGTACATGCCCTTGATTGGAATCGAACCTGGACCCTTCAGTCCCCAAGCCACGCTCTATCCATTGAGCCAAACCGGTCTCGGCCATATCTTGGTTCTTAATTGCAACTCTCACTAACCTTGGGCAAACCACTTATTTCTCAGGTCTGATTTTTCAGGCAGTATTTTTCAGACAATTTCTTTTTTTTTTTCTTTTTTTTTTAATGTATTTTATTGATTTTTCACAGAGAGGAAGAGAGAGGGACAGAGAGTTAGAAACATCAATGAGAGAGAACATCGATCAGCTGCCTCTTGCACACCCCTACTGGGGACGTACCCGCAACAAAGATACATCCCCCTGACTGAAATCAAACCTGGGACCTTTCAGTTCACAGGCCGACGCTCTATCAACTGAGCCAAACTGGTTTTGGCAAGACAATTTCTTAATTAAGTGAAACAATAGACAACTGTGTTCTTTGTTCAACACAACTATGCTCACCCTGAAAGATTCAAAACTATATTAATCAAAAAAATAAAAGAGGCCGAAACCGATTTGGCTCAGTGGATCGAGTGTCGGCCTGCGGACTGGAGGGTCCCGAATTCGATTCTGGTCAAGAGCACGTACTTGGTTGCGGGCGCATTCCAGTGGGGGGAGTGCAGGAGGCAGCTGGTCGATATTTCTTTCCTTTTTTTTTTTTTCAATGTTTCTCTCTCATCGATGTTTCTAGCTTTCTGTCCCTTTCCCTTCCTCTCTGTAAAAAAATCAGTGGTTTTTTGTTTTTTTTTAAAGAAAACAAAAGAGGCTGTGAGCTTACCATCAGAGGAGGGCGGTGTGGTACCAAGTGGTGTGGCTGGGGTTGTTGGAGCGGGACTGACAGGGGTGGTCACCAAGCCTATCTCTGGATGACTCTGAAAAAGAACACAGACGGGTAAGGAAAGAGAATATCCAGTTCCGAGTATCCTCTGATTAATATCCTTTGTGGTATCCCTGGCCTCAGAGACAGACAGCTCACTGAGGGGGGACTGCTTCAACATTTAGTTCCCATGACTACCTGATTACTGTTGATGCTTGCTAAACACTAACAAGAAGCTCTGTAGGCTAGTGCTTTCTAAGCAACCAAGATCTCATTATATAAGCTTTTCTGTAGAATCACACAAATAAAAAACTGGACTAAACAAAAACACAGAATTATTCTACAAAAAAAAGGGGGAAGCATTTGCAGTCCTATTTGAACCTGAAGAAGACTACTCTCATCAGATCAACTTCATTTACAGATTATTCTGATGACCTCATATTTGATAATAAATGCAGGTGAGCCAAGAGGATAGCAGGTACTATAAAAAGAGCTATGCAGGTGGTATCCTTCCTGTTCCACAACAAATTAAGAGTGTGTGGGATGGGGAGGTAAAGACACAAGGTACACATACACTGGGGACCAAAACAGATGGCTCCTCTGTCCCTGACCTTCTTAGCCACCCCTGCCACATCAGCTCTTCAGAATTAAACTGAGTGGAAGCCATTCATTCCTCCCCCCCAACAGCTTTACTAACTCTTTACTTCCTTTAAAATCAGTTAGTTACATAATTCAAAAAGCAAAAGTACATAGTAAGAATAGTAAAAAAAGTAAATAAAGTCTCATGTTATCAGTTGTGAAAAATTATGTGTCCTACTTAGCAGACCCCACACCAGCACACTGCTTTTATTTTATTTATTTTTAAAAAATATATATTTTATTGATTTTTTACAGAGAGGAAGAGAGAGGGAGAGTAAGAAACATCTATGAGAGAGAAACATCGATCAGCTGTCTCCTGCACCCACCCACCCCCCACCCCACCCCCCACCCCCGCACTGGGGACATGCCCGCAACCAAGGTACATGACCTTGACCGGAATCGAATCCGGGACCTTTCAGTCTGCAGGTCGACACTCTATCCACTGAGCCAAACCGGTTTCCGCCACATTGCTTTTTAAGCATGGCTTATTTTTGTTAAACTCAATCAGGGGATCCCATACATATCTGCCCTTTGAGAAAAAAATATAAGCAAATCTTCCTTTAAAAGAAATCTAAGCCTGGCCAATGATACTCAGTGGTTGAGCTTTGACCTATGAATCAGTAGATCATAGTTCGATGCTGATTCAATCCCCAGTATGGTACATGTGGGAGGTGGCCGATTGATGACTCTCTCTCATCAGTGTTGTTTCTCTCTCTCCCTCTCCCTCTGTGTTTCTTTCCAACATCAATAAAAATATATTTTAGAAATATGTATTAGGTTTCTTTTATTTTTACATATATATATATATATTTATGTATGTATGTATGTATGTGTGTGTGGGTGTATATACATATATGTTTAATTTTACAGCTAAACCAGGTTGCAGGCTTGATCCCAGTAGGGGGTTATAGGAGGCAGCCAGTCATGTTATACTCTCACATCAGTGTTTCTCTCTCTTTCTTTTTTGTTTTTTTTAATATATTTTATTGATTTTGTACAGAGAAGAAGGGAGAGAGATAGTTAGAAACATCGATGAAAGAGAGTCATCGATCAGCTGCCTCTTGCACACCCCCTACTGAGGATATGCCCGCAACCAAGGTACATGCCCTTAACCGGAATCGAACCTGGGACCCTTCAGTCCCCAAGCCGACGCTCTATCCATTGAGCCAAACCGGTCTCGGCTCTCTCTCTTTCCTTCTCCCTTCCTCTCTCTCTAAAAACCAATAAACTGGGAGTGGGTGGGAAGAGATTAACCAATGAATTTATGTATGTATATACATAACCCATGTACTCAGACAATAGTGGGATAAAAGACTGGGGGGTACGGGGGAGAGGGCAGGCTAGAAGGGGTCAATGGGGAAAAAGGGGGACATACATTAATATTTTCAACAACAAAGTTTTTTTAAAAAAAAAAATCAATAAACTATTCCTTAAAAAAGAAAAAAATCCATATGGGTTGATAATACCAAGGGATTTCCAGTGAGCAAAACGAAGTAATCTCAACTCATCTTGGTTAACAGAATCAGTAAAAACTTTACATGTTATCCAACCCACTTTGTACCAGATGGAAACATACATATCTGAGAATAGCACAAAGCAAAGGCAACTGATGCAACTCTGTGTTACTACCACTTACCAATGCAAAGCAGGACTTAAACAGACAAAGCCAGAAGGCTTGTCAAGGGAGTGAATCTGTAGGAAATTCAGGAAGAAAAAGGATTGGAGTTTTCAATATAACCAACCTGAGCTAACACTGTGATGAAGTTGCGATTTAAATGAACAGCTTCATAAAGTGCCAGGAGGATGGCCTCATTGGTTCTAAAGAAAAAGAGAACAAATTCTCTTATAATGGAGAAGTTAGAACAATATAACCATCAAGATAAGATTTCATCCCAGCTCCTCATTATCAATCCTTTTGAATTTCTGATGCTTCTTTTATTTCATCCCCGCCCCAATATATAAAGTTTATATAGGCAAAGAGGAAAAAAAGTAAAAAGCCTTAACTTTAATTCATTAGTTCTGATCTACTTCACTCATTATTTTCACTCTCTCTGTTTCACCCCAATCCAGTTAAGTCCTTAACTGGCTCAGATACCCAGCCCTCTTGCATCCACTTCAGGGATAGCTGGAAATAGTTTCTCAGCTCCCTGGGGCTCAATACACAGGAACCAAAGTAGAGGTTTCTAAAAGTTCATTCTCAAGAAACACTTGATACATCACCAAGAAAGTTTGAATCTATAAAAGATTAACAACAGATAACATCTCACACTCTCACACACAGTTGGTGAGCCCACATTAAGTTCAAGTTACTGCACAAGAATGTCAGGCACTTACTGTACTGAGATTTTCTCATGGGCATCTGCTATGAACATGTTGCCCACCTGTGGGAGAAAAGGGGAATTGCACACTTACAGCAGGAAAATTTAAGAGGAGCTCTGCCTAAGAAGCCATTAATCAGTGAAAAAGCAAGCTACTTGCTGTCCAAGGGAATGTGGAGCTCTGGCCCACCAGTCATACATACACACCAAAATCAGCCCACTTTGAAGATCTTAAAAGAATAAGCAATAAATAAAATGAGAATTCCAAATCTTTCTTAAAGGGAGTTACAAACAATCCTAGTACTTTTTTCCAGCTCTCCTTTTCAATTTAAATTTAGTAACCACTGACAGGAAGTAAATGTTAACCTAGACTCGTGATCGGCAAACTGCGGCCTAAGAGCCACATTCGGCTCTTTGGCCCCTTGAGTATGGCTCTTGCACAAAATACCACGACCTGGGTGAGTCCATTTTGAAGAAGTGGCGTTAGAAGTTTAAGTTTAAAAATTCAGCTCTCAAAAGAAATTTCAATCGTTGTACTGTTGATATTTGGCTCTGACTAATGAGTTTGCCAACCATTGACCTAGACCATCATTCTGCATCTTTCCTGGAAGTTGTTTTGTTAAAGTCAGAAACTAATTCCTGCCCAGCCAGAGTGACTCAGTGGTTGAGTGTCGTCTACTCATGAACCAGGTCATGGTTTGATTCCCAGTCAGGGCACATGCACAGGTTGCAGGCTCAATCCCCATTGGGGGGCATGCAGGAGGCAGCCAAGCAATGATTCTCTCTCATCATTGATGTTTCTATCCTTCTCTCCATCTCCCTCCCTTTTTAAAAACTAATTCATAAAGAACATCACAGAAAGTAAGCTAATTTCATCCAACATAGAGCCATTTTCAGCTTCCTTCTTTATCCAATCATTTGGAAATGATTGAGTTTCAGACCAGAACTGCATATTTGAGTTTCAGACCAGAACTGTCTATGTGAAATCTATTGTCCATTTATCATATCACAAAATTTTTAGTTTGTGTTCTAGGCAGAAAAGTTGAATAAGTATATATTGCCTCCAGTATGTGTGATTATCAGAAGCAATGAGAAATATGCCCATCCCTCTAAAAAATACCATTCTACCTGTTTACTGATGTACAATACAAAACTATGCAGCTGGAGCTTCATTTGTTTGTTACAAAACTTTTTCTTCTTGACTAAATGGCAAATATCCTTGAGAACAATATAATTATATCTAAGTCATTTAACCAAATACAGTCCCCATAGTGCTCTGACCTCTGAGAGACTTTAGTTATTGATGTTTCAGAGTTAAAGAGTATGTCAAGTCCTTCCTGAGTGTAGACTCTAAAAAAGAAGAAGAGCAGCCGAGACCGGTTTGGCTCAGTGGTAGAGCGTTGGTCTGCGGACTGAAAGGTCCCAGGTTCGATTCCGGTCAAGGGCATGTGCATTGGTTGCGGGCACATCCCCGGTTGGGGGTGTGCAGGAGGCAGCTGGCCGATGTTTCTCTCTCACCGACGTTTCTAGCTCTCTATCTCTCTCCCTTCCTCTCTGTAAAAAATCAATAAAATATATTTAAAAAAGAAAAAAAAAGAAAAAAGAAACAACCAATGGGGGTTGGGGGGGGGGGAAGGAGGATCTATGTAATACTTTCAACAATAAAAAATTGTAAAAAAAAAAAAAAAAAAAAAAAAAAGAATCAATCAATGAATGCATAAATAAATGGAACCACAAAACTATGTTTCCTTCTCTCTCTAAAATCAATCAATAAACAAAAAATTTTAGATTGTCTTGCCCTAGGACTGATTATTTGACTACTAATGCCCAAGAAGACTTTCTGAATCTGCCTAGAGTCTAAGACCTGCTAATTTATTTCTTAAAAATTAGTCACAGATTACCTGGCCCAAAATGCCTATGATGCCAAAGCTGAGAAACCTAGCTCAGCAGTCTTGTACAGTGGACCAATAACTTTCTTAGACCATGAACCTCACAGCCCATTAAGCCTTTAGACGGGTGGCTCAGGTCCACTGCACCAATCCCTCGATTCCAGGAACAGCTCTGAGGAAACAAGTGGCCACAGCAGACAGCCAAGGAGCACTCAGGGTTATATTCGGATCTAAACCCTCCCATTCTATAATCCATAGTGTTGGTCCTCAAACAAAGCCAACTTTTTAGAAAGCAGAAGTCTGGCTTAAGATGTACCTTTGTTGTAGCCTTAAAAACTAAATTAATTAATTTGAAAAAAAATCTAACTCAGAGAAATCAAAGCTCTTCTTTCTCCTTACTTCAGATACAGCTCTCAAAATAATCTGCTCTAAGTAGATCTCTCTCTCCCCTCATCATGCCATCACCTCAAACTTCTGAGTCCAGATTTGTCTACCCCTACAGAGTACATTTCTGAGTGGAGAGAAAAAATAAGTAGGACTTACCATATTTGTTAAAGCAGAGAAAAAACCGCTCTGGTGTTCTTCTTCCTTGTCTTTATACTGCCTAAAGAAAAATAACTAAATTCAACTTCAGTATTATCTATCAAGGATGTCTTTGTCCTTAGCATTCTAGGCAATCAGGGCAGGACACTCATAGAATTCACTGATTCCAGAAAATAAAAGCACTATGACAATGTAGTCACTGCAGCTTCTCCTGCAAGCTAAAAGGCACCCATCTGCTCCTGAGGTAGTGTGTTACCAAAATGCCTGGCTACTTTGGTAGAGACTTAGAAAGAAAGCTGCATAAGTGTGAAACTACTCTAACATATGGCTGATCCAGTTATTTCTCAAACAGACTATTACTTGAAAAGTGTGACAGTGAAATTACTTCAAGGCTGCAATAGTGAATATCGTGTTTGTTTTTGAAGGAAGAGGACGAAAGAAATCTGTGAGCTAAACTATTTGTGGAGATGAGACCAATTTTAAATTCTAACACCCAATTGTGTATGAGGAAAGTATGGAAAGAAGCAAGACAGATCCTGCCTGGCCGTTGTGAAGACTGGGGACACTTCTGGTTCCCATTCACTGAATTCGCTACTTCTCCATCCACAGCTGGAGGAAAAGCATCACTGAAGTGAGCCCACAGAAGAGACAGGGACTCCAGGAAACTGCAGTTGACTCCTGATGAAAAAGAAGCATCTGGAAACCTAATGCAATGTTTCCTCCTTTTACTTATATTTTTAAGCATACAAAAAAAGCAGTGTTTCACAACCTTTTTTACTTAGAAAATGGTGTTTGTGTGATACACTGGGCTAAATGGAAGAGCCTGCTTGTGGCTGCAATACTAGTTAAAATGCTCTGAGATAAAACGCTAAAAGCTGCAAAGAATGTGCCTACTTATTTAAAGAAACAATGGACCAACCTGATGGCTTCTCCCTTGGTGTTACAAACAACCCCTGCTAAAGCCATCCAGCCAAGCTAGAGCAAACACCTCTGCCAGCAGCTGCTCCTCTGAATACTTCTAGCATAGGCAAGGTAAGTTCATCCAAGAACTCGAACAAACCTGTTTCCCTTTTCTCCTGGAAAAGTAGACTTACCTGTTGTACTCAGATAAAGCCTGAGCAATCACAAGCCCCATTCCCTGGAAAGAAAAAAGACAGCATAGGTGAAATAAGGTTCTGGCAGTGATGCTATGATGAGGCCAGGGAAACACTAATTACACCACCATGGTCCAAGCCCAAGAAGTTCTACCTGAAAGTAGGCAAGAAGGACAGAAATTCTGAGAGGCATTGCCAAAGCATCAAAAGCAACTTCTTTGGCCCAGCTGGTGTGGCTAAGTGGTTGAACATCGACCCATGAACCAAAAGGTCACCAGTTCAATTCCCAGTCAGGGCACATGCCTGGGTTGCGGACTCCATCCCAGTAGGGGGCATGTAGAAGGCAGCCAAGTAATGTTTCTCTCTCATCGATATTTCTATTTCTCTACCCCTCCCCTTTCTCCTCTCTCTATAAAATCAATAAAAACTTTTTTTTTTTAAGAACTTTGCCTTTTGACCAGAACCGCCACTTTCTAGTAGTTCACCAAAATGACTAACACAAAGAGAAAGAGGAGAGGCACCTGCTATATGTTCTCTAGGCCTTTTAGAAAACATGGAGTTAGCTGAAACCGGTTTGGCTCAGTGGATAGAGCGTTGGCCTGCGGACTGAAAGGTCCCGGGTTCGATTCCGGTCAAGGCCATGTACCTTGGTTGTGGGCACATCCCCAGTAAGGGGTGTGCAAGCGGCAGTTGATTGATGTTTCTCTCTCATCAATGTTTCTAACTCTCTATCCCTCTCTCTTCCTCTCTGTAAAAAATCAATAAAACATATTTTTTTTAAAAAAAGAAAAGAAAACATGGAGTTATTCCTTTGGCCACATACATGTGAATCTACAATAAAGGTGATATTGTGGACATCAAGGGAAAGGACACTGTTCAAAAAGGAATGCCCACAAATGTTACTGTGGCAAAATTAGAAGAGTCTACAATATCACCCAGCATGCACTGGGCATTATTGTGAACAAGCAAGTTATGGGCAAGATTCTTGCCAAGAGAATTAATGTACGTATTGAGCATATTAAGCACTTTAAGAGCCGAAATAGCTTCCTGAAACGTGTGAAGGAAAATGATCAGAAAAAGAAGAAAGCCAAAGAGAAAGGTGCTTAGGTTCAACTGAAGCATCAGCCTGCTCCACCCAGAGAAGCACACTTTGTGAGAACCAATGGAAAGGAGCCTGAGCTGCTGGTACCCATTCCCTATGAATTCATGGCATGATAAGTAGGAAAAAATAAAAAAGACTTCTGTGTTGATAAAAATTTTAAAAATAAAAATAAATAAATAAATACAGGAACACCTTTGAAGGGATTTTTCTGATCTAATTATCTTAATGTTACTTAACAGTGTACCAGGGGTAAAACAGACAAGCTCAAATCACTGACAATTTCGCTGGGATCATTTTCACTTCAAAAGAGAAGACTGAGTTAGAAGTTGCAAACAAAAGACAATTCTCATATGTCTCTAAAACAACCATAATACTGGTAAAAGTGACAATGAGTCCCATGCTAAATGAAGGTGCATTTAGACAAGCCACTCTTCAAGCCACAGGAGTATGAGAAGAAGATCTAATAAAAATTAAAATGACTTATCAACTTTCCCTCTAGAATCTATTAAACACAACACAAAGATCAATTAAGGCCACAAGATGAATAATGGGTACTTCTATTCATAAGGGAAATTAGAAGAATGAAGAGGGCAAGATGGAAAGAGAATAAAGCCAGACATCTGGTCATCTTCCTCCTCCCTATATTCAGAGATCAGATGTTATTTCCCAAACTTTCAAGGACATATTGCAACAGATATATACCATCATCCATGTTTCAGCTTCACCACATCAAGCTATAAATACTATCTGGATAGTTGTACAAAAAGGAATTTCTGCCGAAACTGGTTTGGCTCAGTGGTAGAGCTTCGGTCTGCGGACTGAAAGGTCCCAGGTTCGATTCCGGTCAGGAGCATGTACGTTGGTTGCGGGAACATCCCCGGTGTGGGGTGTGCAGGAGGCAGCTGGTCGATGTTTCTCTCTCACCGACGTTTCTAGCTCTCTATCTCTCTCCCTTCCTCTCTGTAAAAAAAAAAAATCAATAAAATATTTTTTTAAAGGAATTTCTTTTTTTTTTTTAAATATATTTTATTGATTTTTACAGAGAGGAAGAGAGAGAGATAGAGAGCTAGAAAAGTTGATGAGAGAAACATCGACCAGCTGCCTCCTGCACACCCCCTACCGGGGATGTGCCCGCAACCAACGTACATGCCCTTGACTGGAATCGAACCTGGGACCCTTCAGTCCGCAGGCCGGCGCTCTATCCACTGAGCCACGCCGGTTTTGGCAAAAAAAGGAATTTCTGATTGGTTAGTCACTTAAGCCTCCTTTTCTCCCCAGCTTTCTTGAGGTATAATCCCAATATATAAAAAGCCAGGGGCCATCATGACCGAACAACAGGCTGCTGGGGCAACAAGGCCGCCAGGGGGGTTAACAAGGGATGACCAAACGACTGAACAGCAGGCTGCATGGGTGACCAGGCTGGCAGGAGAGCAGTTGGGGGCAACCAGGCAGGCAGGGGGGCAGTAAGGGGTGACCAGGCCAGCGGGAGGGCAGGCATTATGGGTGACCAGGCTTGGGGGGGGGGGCAGTTAGGAGCGATCAGGAAGGCAGGCAAACAGTTAGGAGCCAGCAGTCCTGGACTGTGAAAGGGATGTCCGACTGTCGGTTTAGGCCCAATCCCCAGGAGGGAGGGGTCCCGGATTGGAGGGTGTACAGGCTGGGCTGAAGGGACCACATGGGGCACTGCTCCTCTCCCCCCCCCCCTCTGCCTCTGGTTAACATATAAAATTGTAAACTATTTAAAAGTGACAGCACAGTATTTTGATATATCATTTAAGCCTTCTTATCCTTGGAAATGTAACTTACTAGACTTTGTAGGATAGTCAACCTCAGCACACTATAACATGAAATATAATCAAATATTTAATCATGATTAGCAAGCAAATGTCCCTTCAAATCTTTCTTCCATGATGAGAAGATAGAATACAATAAGATAGCTGCACTAATGCTCTAAAAGAAACACAAAGTCCCTCTTTTATAGCCAGATGAAATTAACACAGAAGCCCTTTGCTCTCTAAATATCCACTACAAGTAAGTTTATTGAATGCAAGCAATTAAAACAATACACAAAGATCCAGATACTCACATTGAGCGTGGCCTCGTCATCCACAATAGACAGCTTCACAATATAAGGATTCACAGACTGTTAAAGAAGAGAGAAGACTCAAGGTGATTGTGACCTACTTAAAAACCCATTATTTAATAAGGTGTTAATAAAAATGCAGGTATCAGGCCCTCTCTCCACAGCAATGCTCCTACTATCCACACCCAACCCATCTTATAAGCTGACTCCCCCATTTCCAATAAATCTCTCAATGTGCATGGGCAGTCACCATGCACAAACATGCATACACATGCATACACCTGCTCACACACAAACTCTGTTCTTTTCTTCTGGGCTGAAATCAGCTCATGCCTACATCTGGCACTTCTCCCATCTTTCCTTCGTATTTGTTTCTAAAAAGTAAGTGAACACTCCACAAAACTCCCTCTGTCCTATCCTGCCAATAATTTACTGAGTCCATAGGGACAACTGTCTTTCGGGGCACATAAAAGCTTCTTTGCCATAAGGCACAAATTTGTAAGTTGCTAACTTACATTCTCATCCCAAAGGCCCCTAACCATTCCACAAACAATATGCAAGGACTGATTCACCCACCCGTAAAACAAAGCCACCTGGGGGGTGGAAAGTGGCAGCTGCTTAACAGCCAGAGAGGCCATTTGTGGATCTGATACCCAATAACACTGCGGGAGGGAACGGGGGAAAAAGGGATGTAATTACCCAAACTACAATCTGGTCAGGACACTGGGATTTAATGACTGTCCCATCTCTTATAGCACTGGAAGATTTCCTGAGTTTTCCCAGACCCAACCTCAGCTGGGCAGCATATGGAAATGAACATATATTTAAACTCATTAAGCAGTGGGGCCATCTCCTACTGGTGAGATGAGAACCAATGACCTGCTCACCTTGAAAACATCCCACCCATGGGATGTGAGGAAAGATCTCATGTAGATCAGGCACCAATTCTAACCCAAGGCAAGCAAGGAACAATAGTTCTCAGATTGGCAGTTTTTACAGCAACCAAGAAAACTCATTACAGAGAAACTTAGAAACCCAACTAAAAGGCTAACCCCCCACAAAGACCTTATTTAGTCAAGTTTCTGAGGGCATCTTTCGAATGTCAGTTGGGAATGGAGAAAGAGACAGCTTTGCTTTCTTAACAGCCAAATGTTTATAAGGTTTTCTGCAACACAACCCAAGAAGGCAAATCCCATTCCATTTGTTACTTGATGTAACAGAGGAAAACTCTCAACATGTCTTCCTATAATCAATAGTCAAATTCTGCCAGTGCTACAGATTTCAGATAAGGTCCAATGCAAGTGGATGCTTTAAAAAAAAATCAGCAATAGGCTGACTTAGAGATGCCACCATGATTAGACCACCACCAGAAGAAAACGACCAGTTTCTTATCATTTTTTTTTCTTTTACATAAGGAGGGATTTATTTATTTTTATTTTTTTAAATACATTTTATTGACTTTGTACAGAGAGGAAAGGAGAGAGATAGAGAGCTAGAAACATCAATGAGAGAGAGTCATTGATCAGCTGCCTCCCGCACACCCCCTACCGGGGTATGCCCGCAACCAAGGTACATGCCCTTGACTGGAACCGAACCCGGGACCCTTCAGTCCCCAAGCCGACGCTCTATCCACTGAGCCAAACCGGTCCTGGCAGGAGGGATTTATTATCTCAAAAAATGAAAGCCTAGAAGTAAGGCAGTTTCAGTGTTAATTTAGTGGTTCCACAACGATATCAAGACCCCAACTTTCTGTTTTGTTATTTTCAATATGTTGGCCTTTTCCTCAGTTTATCTCCTCGTGGTTGCAAGATGGCTGCTGAGGCTCTAGTCAGCACTTTTTTTTTTTTCTGATGATAATGCTTTATTTTCTATTTTATTTTGTATTAAATTATTATCTTTGTACATATACCATTGCCCCCCCCTCCCATACATGCCCTCCCTCTTCAGAGTTTTGTGTCCATTGGTTGTACTTATATGCATGTATACAAGTCCTTCGGTTGATCTCTTATCTCCTCCAGATCTCCCTAACCTCCCTGCTGTAATTTGACAGTCTGCTTGTTGTTTTACTGTCTCTATATCTATCTTTTGGTTCTTCAGTTTATAATGTTCTTTATCATCCATAAATAAGTGAGGTCATGTGGTGTTTCTCTTTCATTGACTGGCTTATTTCACTCAGCATGATGTTCTTCAATTCCATCCAGGTTGCTGCAAATGATGAGAATTTCTTTTTTATGGCAGCATAATATTCCATTGTGTAGATGTACCATAGTTTTTGGATCCAATCATCTGCTGATGGGCACCTAGGCTGTTTCCAAATCCTACCTATTATAAATTGTGCTGCTATGAACATAGGGGTGCATATATCCTTTCTGATTGGTGTTTCTAGCTTCTTGGGATATATTCCTAGGAGTGGGATTACTGAGTCAAATGGCAGTTCCATTTTCAGTTTTTTGAGGAAGCTCCATACTGTTCCCCACACTGGTTGCACCAGTCTACATTCCCACCAGCAGTGCATGAGGGTTCCTTTTTCTCCGCAACCACCAGTCTACATTCCCACCAGCAGTGCATGAGGGTTCCTTTTTCTCCGCAACCTCGCCAACACTTGTTGTTTGTTGATTTGTTGATGTTGGCCATTCTGACAGGTGTGAGATGGTACCGCATTGTTGTTTTGATTTGCATCTCTCTTAGCACTTATTTTCTTCTTTTCACCATAAAGGTGGAGTTTTTTTTTTTTTTTTTAATTTCCTTATTGGTTAAGGTATAACATATGTGTCCTTATTCCCCCATTACCTCCCCCCCCCCACTCATGCCCTCACCCCCCTGTTGTCTGTGTCCATTGGTTAGGCTTATATGCATGCATACAAGTCCTTTGGTTGATCTCTCCCCCTAACCCCCACTTTCCCCTACCTTCCCTCTAAGGTTTGATGGTCTGATTGATGCTTTTCTGTCTCTGGATCTGTTTTTGTTCATCAGTTTATCTTAGCATAATTTTTGAAAGTCCTAGTCACTCACCTTCCAAAAAGTACACTGTTCAGGTAATAATAAGGATCATCTGATTACCAAGGACAGTCTGTGCTTTTGCAGCAGTTGGGGGAAAGGCCAGGTGGCTAAAAGCAAGGGTTTGAGTTCTAGCTTCTCTACTTATTAACTGTGAAAAGCACACCAATTAATAGAAGCTCAATTTCCTCAACTGTAAAATGGGAATTATATTTTCTTCCTTGGAGTTGCTATGAGACTTAAATGAAGTAAGACATGAAAAATCTTTAGCATAGTATCTGGCATATGGTAAGGGCTCAATGATTGGTAACCATATTTTTTTCTTCCTTTGACATTTTTATCATATCCAAAGGAAGCTCTTTAGGGAAGGAAGAGAGAAAAAGAGGGAGGGAGGAAGAGAGAGGGAGGGAGAGAGAGAAACAAGTTGCAATTGGATATAATAAACAATTTTGTAATTTCTGGAAAATGTCATGTTCAATAGGCAACAGTTGGAGAGTGAGTCACTTCATCTCAGGAGATGTGGCCAACCTAGAAGGCCAGGATATTAATGCTGTGAAAGATTCTGTTCTCCAGATACTGATTCTCCTTAGCACTATGTACCTGTTGTGTTGGTCACATTTTAAAACTAGAGGCAATCTATTTTTCAGCCACAAAACAGAATTACAAATTCAGTGAGGCATCATGAGGTTCCTCTCATAGAGTCTTAACTTTCATTTGATCTAAATAAGTCATTCCATTCTTACCATCATTGCACTGCCTTAGGCCTTTTGTGTTGTTATTGCCTCCTCTACCTCTTTAAATAAAATGACTAAAATGGAATGCATTACTTGAAGTGAGGAAGAACTATCTTTTACATTTACTACATGACATCGTTCCTATCTTTTCTATTATTTCCATTCCTTAAGTCTAACACCTTATTTGCTTTCTTTGTGTTTAGCTGGGCACCCAGCCACTCTGGTGCCTTTTGCACCTTTCTAGAAAGGTTACAAATTACTGCATTGGTCATTGTATTGATTCTCCACAGCACATACCCTCTTGTATTAGTTTGTATAAAATTTCACCAACTTTTGCCAGTTTGGCTCAGTGGATAGAGCGTCGGCCTGTGGACTGAAGTGTCCCAAAGGTTCGATTCCGGTCAAGGGCATGTGCCTTGATTGCAGGCACATCCCCAGTGGGGGGTGTGCAGGAGGCAGCTAATCGATGTTTCTCTCTCATCGATGTTTCTGACTCTATTTCTCTCCCTTCCTCTCTGTAAAAAAATCAATAAAATATATACTTAAAAAAAAATTCACCAACTCTTGGGTTTGCTACATTCATCTGGAATTCCTCATGTTTCTTCAAAAACCTGCCTCCTCCCTGGTCACCAGGCTTCCTTAATGGTTTCTGGTGAGTGACTTATATCAAAAGCTGCAAAGCCTAGATAAATTATGCCCACCAGCTTGACCTTGCCTAGTATATTAATTCTTCTGGGGCTTCTGACAGACTAAAGATGCATGCCTCGCTCCAGAAATATGATTTTCTCCAGTTCCTTGGCCATGTCCAATTTTTCAGGCTGACATTTCAGAGAGCCCTACTGGGCTAAGCCAGCTTTCAGTTCACATTCAGAAAAGCCAAGACACTGCCACAAAGCGGCCTGCATCCAGAAGAATGTTCAAAAAATACTCATTACTGATGATGGTGCTTTCCTATCACATGTAACTCAACTCTCTTTAACTATCTCAGCTATTTTTCTTGCAGTTGTTATAAGGCCCCAGAGGATATTATACATGACAAAGATCAAAATGGCTGCCACACCAACCCTTCCAGATCACCAGTAAAACAGGTTTTGGTGATAAATTACATACTTATTAGTCGCTTTAAACACCATCCGTCAATTCCTCCAAGATAATGAAAATGTTCAGCTCCTAGGTTTTATAAGACATTAACATTGCTCCCCATATTCCAGTTCCTCTTTAAGTGTTTCTTTCTCACGGCCTTCCCTCCTTCTATATCCCTCCATGTAAGAATAACTTCCAGGTTTTGTTACTCATCATTGTTGACCTGACTAGGAATCTTATCAAACATCACTAAGTGAAGGTCCACAAGTTCAGAAATGATAATCCTCCCTCCAGCTGGCCCACTTCTCATAGCACTGCTACTTACTAAGTGAAGAAAGTCAGCCGAAACCGGTTTGGCCCAATGGATAGAGCGTCGGCTTGGGGACTAAAAGGTCCCGTGTTCGATTCTGGTCAAGGCATGTACCTTGGTTGCGGGCATATCTCCAGTAGGGGGTGTGCAAGAGGCAGCTGATCGATGACTCTCTCTCATTGATGTTTCTAACTATCTCTCTCCCTTCCTCTCTGTACAAAAATCAATAAAATATATTAAAAACAAAACAAACAAACAAAGTGAAGAAAGCCAGATTGCCTCAAGGCACTTTCTGACTTCTGGGTTTAGAAAAATACTCCTAGTGTCCAGGATTGAAGGCTAAATGCTCCTTATTAGTCCGAAGCTATCCCCAGTGTGGCCTCTGCTCTTCTCCAAATGACATTTTCTGCCCTTTGAGGGGAATCAAGCAGACACACCAACCAATCCAATTAGAACTCTGAGTTCTGCTCTTCATCTCGAAAACCTATAAATCTGTCCCCAATTAATTCAGGGGCAAAAGAACTCCAGAATTAACGTTAATAAGGCTCTGACTTCAATTTCCATTAAAACAAGAAAGAGCCCTGGCTGGTTTTGCTCAGTGGTTGCAATGTTGGTGCACGAGTCATAGGTTCATTCCTAGTTAAGGGTGCATACCTCAGTTTTGGGTTCAATCCCCAGCCTAGATCAGGGCTCAGAGCGGGAGGAAACTGATAGCTATGTCTCTCTTGAGTCAATGTTTTTCTCTCTCTCTTCCCCTCTCCCCTCTCTTCCACTCTCTCTAAAAACCAATGGAAAAAATATCCTCACTCCTCAGAGAGGATTAAAAAAAAATCAGAAAGAATTCCAAGACCAACAGTGATACTTTTACAAATGGACTGCATTAAGTAAATCCAACATATGAAAGTCCAATCTTTCAAAACAGATGCATTAGGTCAGTGTTTCCAATCCTGGCAAATCATCATATTCAATAGTAATCTTTAAAAAAAGATTCCCTGATCCCACCCTCAAGAGATTCTGATTCAGTGTGTTGAGAGTAAAACCTGAACATTTCTTCTTTTTATAAAAGTTCCTAGGCCCGTGGTCGGCAAACTGCAGCTGGAGGGCCACATGCGGCTCTTTGGCCCCTTCAGTGTGGCTCTTCCACAAAATACCATAGCCTGGGCGAGTCTATTTTGAAGAAGTGGTATTAGAAAAAGTTTAAGTTTAAAAAATTTGGCTCTCAAAAGAAATTTCAGTCGCTGTACTGTTGATATTTGGCTCTGTTGACTAATGAGTTTGCCGACCACTGTCCTAGGTGATTCTAATGATCAGCTGGGTCTGGGAACCACTATATTAAGGGATATTTACTCACTTTATTAGAAGTTGCACTACAGAATTCCTTTAAACTGCTATATCATCTGCCCCATGCATTTAATATAAGATTTTTACAATTTGGCTTATAAAAATAAATCCATATACCATTTACCAAGAACATGTCTTCCACATTAAGCAAAGTCTTCCAGGAGTAGCCACATGTAGGAAGACTATAGAAAGACTAGAGGCCCGGTGCACAAATTCATGCACCAGTGGGGTTCCTTGGCCTGGCCTGCAGGATGTAGAAGGTCCCAATCTCTCCCTCAGTCCCAATCAGTCAGACCCCAACGGCAAGCTCACCTACCGGTCAGAGCATCTGCCCCCTGGTGGTCAGTGCACATCATAGTGAATGATTGAGAGGTCTTAGCATATCATTAACATATTACACTGTGATTGGCTGAATGAATGACTGGACTTCCAGAAATTAGCATATTAGGCTTTTATTATATAGGATAACAACTATTGATTAAAGAAGTCACTTACACCCTAACTGGTTTGGCTCAGTGGACAGAGCATCAGCCTGTGGACTGAGGGGTCTCAAGTTCAATTCCAGTCAAGGGCACATGCCAGCATTGTGGGCTCAGTCCCCAAAGAGGAGCGTGCAGGAGGCAGCCTATCCATGATTCTCTCTCATTGATATTTCTATCTTTCTCTCCCTCTCCCTTCCTTTCTGAAATCAATAAAAATATATTTTTTTAAAAAGCCACTTTCCGCTGAAACCGGTTTGGCTCAGTGGTAGAGCATCGGTCTGCGGACTAAAAGGTCCCGGGTTCGATTCCGGTCAGAGGCATGTACATTGGTTGCGGGCACATCCCCGGTAGGGGGTGTGCAAGAGGCAGCTGGTCGATGTTTCTCTCTCATCGACGTTTCTAGCTCTCTATCTCTCTCCCTTTCTCTCTGTAAAAAATCAATAAAAAATATATTTAAAAATAAATAAATAAATAAATAAATAAATAAATAAAATAAAAAGCCACTTACCTCATATTTTCTGTAGTTCACCAGCAAAGCCAAGAGGACTACAGCATCATAACCATGCTCCCTACGACTTGGGGGATGGGAGAGTATCTGTAATAAGAACCAGAAATGTGTAATAGTGCTAATTCCTAGTTCCTAGGAATGCAGATAGAGAAGATTTGAGGAGGTAGTTTACCCAAAAGAGAAAGAGGTGACAAGGGAATTGACCAACCTGTAAAATTGCTTCAAATATGCTGTTGATCATTACATACTCCAGGATAGTGTTCTGGCTGATGTTATCTGTCACCTGAGTGCAATAAAAGGCTTTTTAAAGACTACCCTGAGAGACTCTGATATTGCATATATATCTCCTCTGCTAGCATCTAAGAGAAACAGAAATGTTAAAACATTCTAGTATATACTTCCTGGACCTTTTTTAAGCTCCCCCAAAGCCACTAGAGCCCAAACAGAGACTACATGGATAGGAAATTAGCAAATTAAAACTCCCTAAATTTTTTAACTTCTCATTGTTTCTTTCATACCCTCACACAGGCATTTGCTTAACTGTTTCTTGCATTTCAATCCGCAAATGCACAGGAAGAAGTTTATGATCCAGAAGTCTCTGAGTAGTGGCAAGGAAAAGGAACCACCTGAAACAAATGAACAATACCTTGCCCTCCTCCCACTAGAAGGTACAGGCCAGCTTCATGCTATAAAATCTAAATCAGAATAAATAAAAATATTAAAAATTACAAAAACTACTTCCAAATGAGACCTAATGAGAAGGACAAAGCTGATCATCCAGAAGAGAGTAATTCTCCAGGAGTGGTAGGTAACTAATATCACATATCCTGCAAGTTAAATTGACAGCAGTTACTCCAAAGTGCAACTTCCAGGAAACGAAAGCCCATGCAACTAATGAACTCCTACACATTCAAACACAACAGAGTGATGAAATGCCCCAGTACATAATTTATTTTCCTCTTTTCCTCTCTAGCTTTGGGCTCAAATTTTCAAATAAGCTTGTCCCTGCTGTTAACTAATACCTTGACAAGGAAACATAGATGAGTGACTTACAGTCACGAGGCAAAGAAGAAGTTTCAGACATAAACTCTTCAGACTTTCAGAACCTTCTGCACAAAGCAATGAATCCAAACTCTCCATCAAGTTCTGAGAAAGAGAACAGTTAAATGTTAAACAATACCAAATAATATCTGCACTGTGTCTTTGTCCAATTCTAGGTTATATTACACAGGGTAATGTGAATACACAAGAAAGTAACCATATCACACCTTGAGGCACAGGTCTTGCAAAATTAGACAAAGAAAAAAAAGACTTCTAAGACTACCAAAATTTAGGAAAATGCTTAAGTAACAACAGCATGAAATTTACTATTCTACCAAATAAATGTTTGTAGCCTATCATCCTCATATAAACCTTTATTTTAGAATGAAGTACATTTTTAAATATTTAAGAATTATTTAATAATGGGTAAATTAAATAAGTATATAAACTAAAAACAACAAATAAGCTAATTATAAAATAAAAATAAATTTAAAATAACAAATACAGGCTGTTTTTATTAGAATGGCTTTGTAGTATAATTTGATATACCAGGACTCCTCATGGGGGGTGGTAAAATTTTGAAAAATCAGTAGGAATTAATTAAAACTTGAGGAGGAAAGGAATTCTAGACACGCATTAGCATGATCAAAGACAATGAGGAATGAAACAGCTCTGAATATGAACTTCGAATACAAGTAGTTTATTACAGAAGTTCAATGAGTGAGGCACAGTAATGAAAGATGAGACTGGAGAAATAAATAGGGAGCAGGTCTTGAAAGTTTTTTAAGGCTAACTAAGAGTTTGGTCTCTATCTTGTTAGTGATAGTAAACTAATGAAGGGTTTTAAGCAGAAAAAAATGAGTGTAAGATACAATACCTATGGTGTCAGTAAGGATGACAGATTTACTAGTAAAGATGGTAAGCCTGAAGGGATTGAGACAAATGAGAACTAATCTATCAGTTTTCTGAAAATAGTTGCCATGTCTTATTTGTCTCTGTATCCCCAGTGCCTGACACACAGGAGCCTAACAAATGTTTTTCAAAGAATGTTTAAAGACATCACTGCAATGGTTCAAGTGAGAGATAATGGGAATACTGGTAAAGGGGGTGGGGATGGGGGGAGATAGGAGAAATATGAGCTGAGGTAAAATTAGCTGAACTTGGTGATCATTTGGATATGAAAAATGAGAGAGAGGAGAGAGTAAAGGATGAGTCCTAGGTTTTTGGCTTTAGATACTGAGAAGACAGGTGCTCCTATTCTGATAGGGAATGGATGAGGAAGAACAGATGTAGGGAAAACAATGAGTTCCATTTTAAATATGTTGACAAGAGATATTTAGGGAGTGGGTATAGTCAACAAGTGCTTACAGAGTACATATGCAATTCTGAGACTCATGAAGGGATGTTAAGGCTAAAGTTAGAGACTTAATAATCAGTAGCTTATAGGCAGTAGTTAGAATGATGAGGATGAAAGAGAAATGGGGAATTTTACTATGATATATACATGAACTGTATAAACTATAATTAAAAATGACTCCAGCCCTAGCTGGTATTGCTCAGAGGTTCGAGTCTCAACCGTTAAATGGAAGCATCTCAGATTTGATACCCGGTCAAGTGCCTGGTTTGCAGGTTAGATCCCCGGACCGGTCAGAGTACATGTGGGAAGCAACCAATCAGTGTGTCTCTCTCACATTAATGTCTCTCTCTCTCTCTCTCTCTCTCTCTCTCTCTCTCTCTCTCTCTTTCCTCCATCTCCCTTCCACTCTCTAAAAATCAATGCAAAAAAAAATCCTCAGGTAAGAATTAATGACTCCAGGTAGTAAATCTTTGTGTAGTCATAATTGTCTATTCATAACTTTTTTAAATTGTCTAATCACTATGAGGATTCTTTGACACACAGTATTTTTAAATATATTTTTATTGATTTCAGAGAGGAAGCGAGAGGGGGAGAGAGAGAGAGAAACATCAATGATGAGAATCATTGATCAGCTGCCTCCTGCATGCCCCACACTGAGATCGAGCCCACAATCCAGACATTTGCTCTGACCAGGAATCGGACCATGATCTCCTGGTCCATAGGTTAACACACCATTCAGCCATGCTGTTAGGGCTTAATATATTTTTATAGCCCTAGTTGGTTTGGCTCAGTGGATAGAATGTCAGCCCATAGACTGAAGGGTCAAGGGTTCAATTCTGGTCAAGGGCACATGCCTTAGTTGCAAGCTTGATGCCCACCCGAGGGAAACAACCAATCAATGTGTCTCTCTCACACAATGTATTTTTCTCTCTGTCTCTCCCCTCCCTTCTGCTCTAAAAATCAATGAAAAAAATATTCTCATGTGAGGGTTAACAAATATATATATATATATATATATATATATATATATATGTGTGTGTGTGTGTGTGTGTGTGTATGTATATATGGGTGTGTGTGTTATATGTGTACACTCATCTATATTTTTTAAAATATATTTTTATTGATTTCAGAGAGGAAGGGAGAGGGAGGAAGAGAAACATCAATGATGAGAGAATCAGCCGGGACCGGTTTGGCTCAGTGGATAGAGCGTCGGCCTGCGGACTGAAAGGTCCCGGGTTCGATTCCGGTCAAGGGCATGTACCTTGGTTGTGGGCATATCCCCATTTGGGGGTGTGCAAGAGGCAGCTGGTCGATGTTTCTCTCTCATCGATGTTTCTAGCTCTCTGTCCCTCTCAATTCCTCCCTGTGTAAAATCAAAAAAATATATTATAAAAAAAAAAAAAATGATGAGAGAATCATTGATCAGCTGCCTTCTGCAGGCCCCCTACTGGGAACCAAGCCCACAACTCAGGCACATGCCCTTGACCGGAATCAAACCTGGGACCCTTTAGTCCGCAGGTCAGCACTCTGTCCACTGAGCCAAACCATTTATGTTTTTTAAATAGCCTGGCTGGTGTGGTTAAGTGGTTGAACATCAACCCATGAACTAAGAAGTCATGGTCAGGACACATGTCGATTGTGGGCTCAACCCCCAGTGTGGGGCATGCAAGAGGCAGTCGATTAATGATTCTCTCTCATCATTGATGTTTCTATCTCTCTCTCCCTCTCACTTCCGCTCTGAAATCTGTAAAAATATATTTAATAAAATAAAATTGAAAAAGAAAGCTTGTCGAACTGGTTTGACAGAGCGGCAGTCTGCGGACTGAAAGATTCTGGTCAGGGGCATGTACACTGGTTGCGGGCACATCCCCGGTAGGGGGTGTGCAGGAGGCAGCTGGTCGATGTTTCTTTCTCATCGACGTTTCTAGCGCTCTCTCTCTCCCTTCCTCTCTGTAAAAAATCAGTAAAATATATTTTTTTAAAAAAAGAAAAAGAAAAAGGAAGCTTAAAGTTTAAAACTGAAGTTATTCTTGCATATTTTGTTACATTTTATTTAAGTTCATACATGTTTTTAAAACTGTATGATCAGATTATATCAATCATATAAAAAGCTGCTCAGCCGGGACCGGTTTGGCTCAGTGGATAGAGCGTCAGCCTGCAGACTAAAAGGTCCCGGGTTCGATTCCGGGCATGGGAATGTGCCGTGGTTGCGGGCACATCCCCAGTGGGGGGTGTGCAAGAGGCAGCTGATCGATAACTCTCTCTCATCGATGTTTCTAACTCTCTATCCCTCTCTCTTTCTCTCTGTAAAAAATCAATAAAAATATATTTAGAAAAAAAAAAAAAAAAAAAAGCTGCTCAGGCCCTAACTGATATGGCTCAGTGGTAGGGCATCAGTCTGCAGACTAAAGGGTCCCAGGTTCGATTCCAGTCAAGGGCATGTATCTTGGTTCTGGGCATATCCCCAGTGGGAAGTGTGCAAGAGACAGCTAATCAATGTTTCTCTCTCATTAATGTTTCTAACTTTCTATCCCTCTTCCTTCCTCTCTGTAAAAAAAACAATAAAATATATTTAATTAAAAAAAAAAAAAAAACGCTGCTCAGTCTTTATCTTACAGAGAAAGAATGCCTCAATTCAAATTTGAATTTCAAATTTTCCCTTATTCAGATAAATCAAATATGTAAAATAAAAACATGCAAATTCAAGGCCAAATTTAATCATCTATATCTATATGAGTCCAAATCTTCTAGTACAGTCATCGCCAACCTTTCAGACCTCATAGACCACCAGTGGTCCGCGGACCACCGGTTGGCGACCACTATTCTAGTACAACTAACTGTCTGCAGATGGTACCCATGAACAGCTGTCAGAAGCAGCCATATACAGGCACAGCTGCAGCTTATGTCTCACCTTCATGCACAGCTCCGCCTTATCGAAGCCCATCAGCATGTTGATAATGTCAAACCCAGAGGTAGACTTATTCTTTTGATGTACGCCTCGAATGAGTGCACACAAGGTCTGCAGGGATGAGAGAAAGAATTATTTCTGGAAAGGAAGTCTCAAAACGAAGGACACTGGAATTGTAGCCTCACATTGCAACCTCAGAACCTCCTCCTCACACAGCTGACATTCAAATGCTCTAATACTTGCGTTTCAAAACTCAGTCTGAGTCTTCATATGTGCAAAACCCAGAAATCAAAAGAGGAACAGCAACTAAAACTATTTTTATCCTCTTTTTCTGCTGCTTTACAGCAATCCTCTTTTTTAAAATTGCAGTGGAGACAAAGACTGGAAAGTGATATTCAAAAATTTTTAAAATTTTTGACTTTGTATTATAGAATTGATGAAACTGTCCTTTATTAAAATTAATTTTGTATTTACATTATAGTTTATCATTTTTAATATTTTTAACAACTACAAATTATTTAAGTCCCTATATCATAAAAAACAATTGCTTCATATCTTAAATTCATTACATTCCACTACTTATTAGCTGTGTGAGTCTAGACAAATTCGTTAATTTTCAATGCCTCTTTTCTCATCTATAAAATGGCAATAACAATAATAGCACCCATCTCATAGGAATGTTGTGAGAACTATATAAATTAATACTATAAAGCACTTAGAATAATCCCTGCAACTTTGTTAAAGCTCCAATAATAGTATCTCAAATGTTGTTAAAGTTCAATAAGTATCAGCTATTACAATAATGTACTATATTTTAATTGGTCACCAAGTGGTTTAATGTCAATTTATTTCCACCAAACTAAAAACAGTTTACAATTCATGCCCCCATGCAATTACAGAAAGTACACTTTTCAACTTTCAATGAGCCCTTACAACTGTGGAATTTATTGTGCCAAAGGTCAACAAAGCTACAGGATAAATAAACATAGTCCTTTCTGGAGCATCAGCTCATGAGGTAATTTCTACATTCTACAGATGAGAAAACTGGGACTCACAAAGTGATCTAACTAGTAAGTTAGAAACTTAAAACCAAATCAATCAAAACTTCAATAAAATCCTTGCCGAGACCGGTTTGGCTCAATGGATAGAGCGTCGGCTTGGGGACTGAAGGGTCCCAGGTTCGATTCTGGTCAAGGGCATGTACCTTGGTTGTGGGCATATCCCCAGTGGGGGGTGTGCAAGAGGCAGCTGATCGATGACTCTCTCTCATCAATGTTTCTAACTCTCTATCTCTCTCCCTTCCTCTCTATACAAAATCAATAAAATATATTTTTAAAAAGTAAATAAAAAATAAATAAATAAAATCCTTTATGCTTTTTGTCTATCATTGCCCTAAATCTATCAATTACTAACCTAGATATTCAGCCCTAGACTAGCTACCCTTGGAGTTACTGGACAATAAACGTTAGAAACTGCCCATCATTCATTCAGTTAAAATATACTTATAGAGTACTATTTGCGAGGCACTGTTCTACACACTAGGAACAAAGTTTTGAATGAAATTATCAGTCTATAATATATCCCCACGAGTCCAATGGCTAGCACATAACAGTCATCTAAGAAATAATTTTTCAATGAATATTCCTATTGATCATGCCACTTAGCATTAAGAACAATGATTCTTAATGTTTTCAGAGTTACAGACCCTTTTGAAAATCTGATAAAAGAAAGCCCTCTCTCCAGGAAGATTTTACATACACATACAAAATACTCCATATAGCCAAAACCGGTTTGGCTCAGTGGTAGAGCATCGGTCTGCGGACTGAAGGGTCCCGGGTTCGATTCCAGTCAAGGGCATGTACCTTGGTTGCGGGCACATTCCCGGTAGGGAGTGTGCAAGAGGCAGCTGGTCGATGTTTCTCTCTCATTGACGTTTCTAGCTCTTTATCTCTCTCCCTTCCTCTCTGTAAAATATCAATAAAATATATTTTTTTAAATAAAAAATTAAAAAATACTACATATAATTTCAGGGAGTCAAGGGCCCCCTGAAACCTCAGATTATGAACTCCTGAATTAGTGAGAAAATACTGTATTAAGAATATCCTCTGCTCTGGCGGTGTTGGTAAATGGTTAGAGCATCAACCCATGCACTGAAGGGTCTCGTGTTCAATTCCCAGTCAAGGACACATACCTGGGTTGCAGGTTCATTCCCCAGTCCCACATGTGGGAGACACAACCAATAGATGTGTCTCTCTCTCTCATCAATGTTTCTGTCTCTCTCTCCTCCCTGCCTCTCTCCCTTCCACTCTCTCTAAAAAAAAAAATAATCAATGGAAAAAATATCCTCAGGTGAGGATTACAACAAAAAAATCTCCTCTGGCCAAACTGGTTTGGCTCAGTGGATAGAGCGTCGGTCTGTGGACTGAAGGGTTTGATTACGGTCAGGGGCATATGCATTGGTTGCGGGCACATCCCCAACCAATGCGGGATGTGCAGGAGGCAGCTGGTCGATGTTTCATCATCGATGTTTCTAGCTCTCTATCCCTCTCCCTTCCTCTCTGTAAAAAATTAATAAGATTTTTTTTAAAATCTCCACTGATTTTTGCTGTACACTAAGTAAACTCGCCTCAGTTTCCTCTCTATTTCTTCCTTTCCTCAAGTAATAATAAGAATTCTGTCAAACAATCTGCCTTGACACTAGATCAAATTATACAAATAGACAAGATTACTACTATAAACATTAATTTGTTTAATCGGGAAGATGACTAAACAAATATGACATATATGTTTCATTACTTAAAGAAGTAAAGAAAAATGAAAATCTCACACCTTAGGGCAATTCTAAGTTCCTCAGGTTTCAACAGATGTGTTACAATTCCTTTCTCCTATTAACAAGACTTCCCAGTCTCCCAGCCTTGTACCTGCAGTGCATTGACAACTCGAATTGGATGTTCCTCTCCTAGAGCCTGGATGCAGTGTTGAAATAAGCAATTAATGTTGTCCTTGATCTTCATTAACTCCTCGCCATCAAGAGATTCCAGTTTGCCTTCTAGGTAATCTAAATTCACCTACCAAGGAAACGATAAGAACCTGAGTTCACTTTTAGTACAGCACCTAGAACACATGAGAAGGCAATCTCAGTGACCAGGAAAACCCACAGGTGCCACCAAGTCTTACCTTCATGAGGAAGAGCTCCTCCCAAAATCGAGGGCTGCACTTACTGGGGTCCTCTGTCTGAAATTAAGATAAGTAGGTTCAATATCTGCAGCTAAACATCAAATCACAAAGAATACATTTGAAAGCGTCACTGCACATAATCAACATTACTTTACAAAATTAACTTTGAAAATTACTTTTCAAAATTAATGTTTTACTTGGTCAGTACAAATTATTGTAATGGGGAAACAAACTGTTGTAATGTGGAACAACAGTTTTGGGTCCAGGTGGCCACAATTCAATTCCCAATCAGGACACATTCCCAGGTTGCAGGCTCAATCCCCAGTAAGGGGCGTGAAATAGGCAGCCAGTCAATGATTCCCTCTCATCACTGATGTTTCTATCTCTCCCTCTCCTTTCCTCTCTGAAATCAATAAACAAAAAATTGTTAAAAAAGGAAGGGCACTTAATCATCCAAATAAATTAGTCAAATTATATGTCCCCAATGAATTTGTATCAAGCTGTTTTCAAAGCCCATTCACATATCTATAATAATAAAAGTGTAATACACTAATTAGACTGGACAGGCAAACGTCCTTCCTGACGACCTTCCAGACAAAGTTGGGGGTGAAAGGACCGAGGCAAGCCACCATGGCTGGAGGGCCAAGCCCCTTGCACAAATTTCCTGCATTGGGCCTCTAGTCCTAAATAATAAAAGCCTAATATGCAAATTATCCCCTCGACCAGGAGTTTAATCAGGAGTTCAACTGCTCACTATGACATGCGCTGATCACCAGGGGTGGGCAAAACATGGCAGGCATCAGTGATGTGGTGCTAGCAGCAGATGGCAGTGTAGGCACTGCTGGCCCCATGGGCCTCAATGAGAGCAGGACTGCTGTGGGATGGTGCAGCAGGTGAGCAGGCAGGGCCAGGCCAAGGCAGGTGCAACAGGGGCCCAATCACTCTGCCAATCACCACGCAGATGGCAGCAGGGAGCATAGACTATGCCTGGCTCCCAAGCACTGAGAGAGTGGGGGTGGTGGTGGGGGTGAGGGACGGAGATGACCCCAAGCAATTGCCCCACAGGCAGGATGGTGACGCAAGTGAGGGGGCAATACCAGGCCACCCCACAGGCCACCCCAAGGAACCCCACCCATGCACAAATTTGTGCACCAGGCCTCTAGTATGAAATATAATGACCCAGTGAACCAAGAATGGTAGATAATCATTATCTCTTTTTGGGAAAGAGGGTCAACAAAGTTAAGTGACTTATAAAAGAGCAGGAGCCAAAACCCAAATCATCTCAATAATACTGTCATGGATTTTACAATATCTTGTGTTGATTGCTTCTATGATACTTGCCCTCACATATGTATTTAGTCCTTTGTACAGAGTTTTGTTTTTTTTTGTTTTGTTTTGTTTTTTTAATCAATCTTTATTGTTCATATTATTACAAAGGTTCCTCATTTCTTCCCCCCTCCACCAGGTTCCCACCCCACCCTCTGCCCCCTCCCCAACCCCCATTGTCCTCATCCATAGGTGCAGTTTATGTTCAGTCTCTTCTTCCCTCAATTTCCCCAATAGTAAATCCCTTTTCAGATAGTAAATCAGTTACTTAGCATTTTCTCATATCAATAATACCTCCACAAGCCCAATGATACACTTCACACAAAAGACATTTCCCAATAGGTCCACTAGCCTCATCCAGGCCCCACCCAAGGCACTCACAGATCAACACCCCAGTCCTAAACTAACTCAACACATCCAGATCTAAGCCTTCATCACTTGATTCAGCAGATCCTCAAGTTCCCACAAAAGTTTCCAGCCATGTCTGAGAAGCAGCCGTGGGGCAGGGGCAGGCAAGGAGCGAGCTGTTCTGGGCCTGGCTGCTCAGGGCCTGGCCTCTGTTGCTCTGGTTCATTCCACAACCAGCTGCTCCGGGTCTGGTCACTGCCGCTCCCGACCTAGTTGCTCTGGACTTGGCTGCTGCTGCTCCGGGCCTGGCTGCTCCCAGCCTGGCAGCCGCTGCTCCGGGCCTGGCCGCACCCGACCCGCCTGCTCCCCCGGGCCTGGCCGCTCCCAGCCTGGCAGCCGCTGCTCCGGGCCTGGCCGCACCCGACCCGCCTGCTCCCCCGGGCCTGGCCGCTCCCAGCCTGGCAGCCGCTGCTCCGGGCCTGGCCGCACCCGACCGGCCTGCTACCCCGGGCCTGGCCGCTCCCAGCCTGGCAGCCGCTGCTCCGGGCCTGGCCGCACCCGACCCGCCTGCTCCCCCGGGCCTGGCCGCTCCCAGCCTGGCAGCCGCTGCTCCGGGCCTGGCCGCACCCGACCCGCCTGCTCCCCCGGGCCTGGCCGCTCCCAGCCTGGCAGCCGCTGCTCCGGGCCTGGCCGCACCCGACCCGCCTGCTCCCCCGGGCCTGGCCGCTCCCAGCCTGGCAGCCGCTGCTCCGGGCCTGGCCGCACCCGACCCGGCTGCTCTGGGCCCGGCTGCCCCTGGCCCGGCCGCTCCGAGCCTGGCCACTCCCGACCTGGATGCTCTGGGCTTGGCTACTGCTGTTCTGGGTCTGGCTGCACCCACCCCGGCTGCTCTGGGCCCGGCTTCTCCGGGCCCGGCCACTCCGGGTCTGGGTGTTCCTGGACTGGCCACCCTGGGCTTGGCCGCCTCCGCCTCATGCCTGGCTGCCACTGCCCCAGGTCTGGCTACTCCAGTGCTAGCTGTTGATGCTCTGGTTCTGGCTGCTATTGTTCTGGGGCTTGGCCGTTGCTGCTCCGGGTCTGGCTGCCACTGCCTTGTGCCTGGCCACTCTAGGCCTGGCCTTCGCTGTTCCAACATTCTGTCCTTTTTTTTTTCTTTTTTCTTTTTAAAATGCATTTATGTTGCAATGTTGGCTGGTGAGTTGAGTTCTGACTTAGTCTTTGATTTTTCAAGATCTTCTTTGTATTCTTTCTTAAGTAATTTTACTATTTTTTGCTCTCACTTGATTTCTTCACATTGAGAACTTCTTTGGTTTCTTCCTCCTTGTCCTGGGAGCTCAGCAGGTTGGCCTGTGGCACCCCTTTGTTCTCCGCGGGCTCCTGCGCTGCTTCAGCCTATTGCCGGGGACGGCGCTGCCCAGGAAGCAGCCCCCGGCCTTGGCTCCATTGCCCAAGCTCAGTGGTCAAAGGCTCAGGGGCACCCACGCCCCCAGGGGCCCCGTGGCCCTCCTTCTTGCTGGTGCCCGGTTGGCTGGAGTCCGGCAGGGGCTTCCGCTCCCCTCCGCGTTCCCCCAGCCTAGAGCTTTTTTTTTCTCCTTCCTGCTAGAGAAGTCCAGCATCAGAGTCAACAGACTGTCCTCTGCGCGCAGTTTGCGGGAGTCCCACAGACTGTCCTCTGCGCGCAGTTTGCGCGAGTCCCACAGACTGTCCTCTGCGCGCAGTTTGCGCGAGTCCCAGGGGCCCGGCCTTTCACCGCTCTCCCCAGACTCCACCTCACAGCCCCGTCTCCCTCTGCCTGAGTCTGGGTCCCCAGAGATTAGCCCAGAACTGGGGTTCGGAGGAGTCCGGACTGAGGCTCAGCGCCGCCGGAGGCCTTGTTTCTTCCCACTAGGGTAACCCAGCATCAGAGTCAACATTCAGTCCTCTGCGCGCATTGCGCGCGACTCCCGGGGCCCTGCTTTTCGCCGTTTTTCCGCCTCACGGCCCTGTCTCCTCCCACCGGAGCCTGGGTCCCCAGGGTCTGGCCCATAACTGGGGCTCAGCGCTGCCGGTTCGGGGGGGGGGGGGGGGGGGGGGGGGTTCAGCGCTGCCGGTTCGGGGGTTCAGCCCAGGCTGGGGGTTTTATTTCCTTCCTGCTAGGGAAGGAAAGGCGGCTCCCCGCCCTCTCCTCCTCTCCGGCTGCGACCTCTCCGTGCGCGCGTGCGGGCGGGCGCGCGCGCAGCATGTCTCCGTACCTTAGGCTTTTTTTCAGCTCCTCTGATTTTCTTTCTGGTTTTCTCTTTCCTTCTTGTTGTAGAAATTTCAGTCAGTCGACTACCTGTAGCTCTGGGCAATGTCCACTCTACATTTTAGTTGTATTCCATTGAAATTGTTGTGTGCTGCCACAGCTAGATGTCTACCCGAGCAGCCATCTTGGATCCTCTGTACAGAGTTTTTAACATGCTCTTTTCTCAGTTAAATTGGTCCAAAAGGTTAGCAAAAATTTAAGTGCTAAGATCCAAATTTTCTCAGCAATAATTTTCAAACAGAAATTCTAGTGGTCGCCAACCTTCCGGACCTCACAGACCACCAGTGGTCCAAGGACCACCAGTTGGCGATGACTCTTCTAGACAGAGGCTTCCAGTTAATGAGTGAAATAAAAAAAAAAGATAACCCTTACTGCCACTTTAAAGGAAAGCTAATGACAAAAACCTGTAGGTCAATTGCCTGCTATCACCTTTCCGTAAGTTGACCTTTTAAAATTACTACCAAGAACTAATGTCTTAATACAATGAATTCTAACATGGATCATAAAAGAGATGGATTCAGGTCTTACCATGAAGATCTCATCGTACATCAGCACCACTTTTTCCTTCAGTGGCTTTTTGGAGGCTGAAGATTTCCGAAGCAAACCCCCTCTTTTCTCTACCTGTGCCATGGTTAGAGAATCTGTGAAAAGAAAACCAGAGACAGAGCTAGAATTGCTCTCCCAGATTCTGGAGATTCTACTGGAACACCTCTTAATGGGAAATTTTTTAGGAAGAAGAAATGATAAACAACCACACTATAGGTCTTGCACATCTGTCCAACACTCTCTCTCTGACCAGGTAATTTCAAGATTTAAATTATAGCACAACATATTTTACATCCTTAAAGCATGCCAAAGGACAAGGCTGAAAGCAGATCCAAAACCAAGCAGGAAAGTGTAACGAGCTCCATCTGTAATAGGTCTAGCCATATATTTGAGGTTGATGGAAGGAAGGCTGCAAAGTACACACTGCCCCAGACTGATGGTGAAGTTAAATTTCAAGTATTGATCGAGCTTAGGACCATTAAGACAGGAAGTGTGCTGCAGACTGATATGCTCCATTGATTTTCCCCAGAGTAAGTAGGTTCTCGTCACTGCAAAGCACTTGGCTTTCACTGCCTCATAAATCACAATGCACTTGACTGTCTTCAGAAATTCCTCTGGAAAGAAACCCAAGGTAGAAAATATCAGTTAAAGGTTAAAAATTAAACTTGATTTCAAAATAACTGAATTTTTTTAAATATATTTTATTGACTTTTTACAGAGAGGAAGGGACAGGGAGAGAGAGATAGAAACATCAAAGATGAGAGGGAATCAATGAGCAACTGCCTCCTACATACCCACCCCTGGGGATCAAGCCTGCAACCCAAACATGTGCCCCTGATCTGAATTTAACCCTGGACCCTTCAGTCTGTAGGTTGACTCTCTATTCACTGAGCCAAATCAGCCAGGGCCCGAGGATATGTTTATTGATTTTAGAGAGAGGAAAGAGGAAAAGAGGGAGAAAGGGAGAAAGGGAGAAAGAGACACATCGACATGAAAAACATCAATTGGTTGCCTCCCTTATGTGCCCTGACCAGGGATCAATTCTGCAACCTAGATATATGCTCTGACAAGGAATCGAACCCACAACCTTTGGTTACAGAACAACACTCCAACCAAATCACCCAGCAAGGGTTGGAATTCCCAATATTTTTTTTAATCACATACATCACATACATGTTATTTTCAAAAAGGAATTCCCAATTTTTTAAGTGAGAACTTAAAATCCAACAGGTCTTCACTGTGGATTTACACATATTCCCTCACTTCCCAGATTCTTCCTACTTGAAAGAAACCAAATTTATTCATTTGTCTCTCTCTCTTAAATATTAGGCTTTAGTTGTGAAACTTAATCTTAACCAATGGCAAGTATGGAGGGTAGTGAGGAGCCTGATTTTTACTTCCAGACTAACCCAAAGCAGAACAAAATTAATTTTGTTCAATGACTTTTGAGAAATATGCAGTACCTTTCAAATCAAAATAAAAGGTTTGTTTAAGGGAGAGATGCATTAAATAGCATAAAAGATTTTATCTCGGACATTGTTTTTCTCTAATACATACAGACAAAAAGGAGATTCCCCTTTATACACAAAATGCATAAAGCACAGAAAATTTCTCCAACTAGGTATTAGGCATCTTTAGCAAAGGGAATGCATCCTATACTTTTTCTATAGCCCCATGGCTCATAGTATGCTCATCACTGACTGAATCTGAAGGGGGGGTGCAGCTGAAAAATAATAGATCTGACCTAAAATGTTAGTAAGACCTCTCTTTATTGAGGCCTCACTAAGCCCTCAAATTCCATTATGGTGCAGAGAAAATTGAAGGGGAAAATAACAAAGAAAAGATTCTTGTGGGCAATTTATGCTATATTGATCATGGCTTTGCCTTAAAACATGAAATACAGCCTCTGTTCAAAACATTCCTGTGTCTCTTAAATAGGTTGTCAAGAGGAAGATATCCTTATAGGGGAGAAAACAAATTGGAAATCAAGAGGATCCTATTAAAATAAATCAAAAGCAATGCAATTCTAAACTTAGTGGGTATAGATCTTTCATGTACTCAACTTCAACCAGTTGATTAGCAGAAATAGTGGGAACCATGAGTTCCTGGATGTGAAAAGCACATGTTTACAAACATACCCCTCTGAGGATTTATAATTAGGTTCCAGCTAATCAATGTCTACCTCAAATCTAATAAACTCACTTTCTCCATTTCAGAATCAATACTTTCTAATAAGCGAATGGGGATAGGAGAAGAGGGAAAAACAATTCCAATCTAAAGTACCAAATTCCCTAAGAAATTAAATTATTTTCATCACTCTCCTTCAATTTGGAGCAGGGGGGGACATTCAACCAAGAGCTTCAACTCATTACTCTCTGCCATCATCACAAGCAACTGGAATTTACCACCCAAGCTGTCGAAAATGTGACCTCCTCCAGCATTTCTAACCATGAAACACAGCAAAGGTATATCTAGGGTGGCAGATTGGGAGAAATTAGAACTCTTACAGAAGGTTTTTAGGGTAGAGGGTATCTCAGAAATTAAGCCTGTACTCCTAAATTTGAAAGTAAAATATTTGACTGGTAGAGCAGTCGATTGCAGCACATCAATGTGAGTATAATCTATTTACATCCTCTCAGTGCATTTTTTCCTCTTTCACAACCCTCCCCTGTAGTAGAGAGAATCAGCACCTGCTGAGGAGCATCAAGGCAGAATGGAAAAACTAACCAATAGAACCAAAACTAGAATACCAACTAGATGACAGAGTAATTAAGTCTTTACTCCTCAGTTTCCTTTACAAATAAAACAAAGGATCGGACTAGACCCGTGGTTGGCAAACTGCAGCTCTAGAGCCACATGCGGCTCTTTGGCCCTTGAGTGTGGTTCTTCCATGAAATAACCCGGCCTGGGCGAGTCTATTTTGAAGAAGTGGTGGGAGTAGCGTTAGAAAAAGTTTAAGTTTTAAAAATTTGGCTCTCAAAAGAAATTTCAATCATTGTACTGTTGATATTTGGCTCTGTTGACTAATGAGTTTGCCAACCACTGGACTAGACATATCATCTAATGATTCTCTCAACATCACTTAAATACCATAAACACAGCCGAAACTGGTTTGGCTCAGTGGTAGAGCGTCGGTCTGCGGACTGAAAGGTCCCAGGTTCAATTCCGGTCAAGGGCATGTACATTCGTCGCGGGCATGTCTCCGGTAGGGGGTGTGCAAGAGGCAGCTGATCGATGTTTCTCTCATTGACATTTCTAGCTCTTTATCTCTTTCCCTTCCTCTCTGCAAAATATCAATAAAATACATTTTAAATAAATAAATAAATAAATAAATAAATAAATAAATAAAAATAAATACCATAAACACATAAGGAACACCTACATATTATAAAGCACTAGCTTAGGCCCTACAGGGTTACAAAAAAGCAAACTTCTTACCTGATGCTCTGGGTGCTCACTATCTATTGGCAGAGACAGACACATAATAATGCATAGTACAAGGCAATAAATAGAGTAAAAGCACCAAAAGGAAGGGAAAGAAGCATTCTATGACTATGACCTTTGTTGATCCTGGTTTTTAAATCCTTGTGGTGAAGACGCAAATACAGCAAAGCCATAGTAATCCCACAGAAATGTCATCTTAGGCTTAATACAGCTTCTCAGAAATAAGACATACAAGGCAAAATATAAAAGAGAATCAGGCAATTTTTCAATACTAATTTCATTTACCACCAAAAAGGAATGGCTTCAAATCCCCTCAACTCAATAGTAAATAAAGTCTTTTATTCCTAAACCTCAGGGACTGCCGGTCCCATGACCTGTAGTACAACTTTTATCTGAAAGTTCCAAGTCATACAGGTTCATATATTTATAAATATATAATTGTGTGTTTTTTTAAATTTATTTCAGAGAGTAAGGGAGAGGGAGAGATAGAAACATCAATGATGAGAAAGAATCATTAATCAGCTGCCTCCTGCACTTCCCACACTGGAGATCAAGCCCACAACCCAGGCATGTGCCCTGGCAGTTAAGAGAATTGAACTGTGACCTCCTGGTTTATAGGTTGATGCTCAACCACTGAACCATGCTGGCCGGGCCATACAACTTCTTAAGAACTATATATTTAAGCAATCCAGCCACATACTTCTTTTTTGTTGTTATTGTTGTTGTTAATCCTCATCTGAAAATATTTTTCCATTTACTTTTTTTTTAGAGAGAGTGGAAGGGTGAGGGAGAAACAGAGTTATCTGTTCCCTAAATTTTTTTGCAAGGTATACCATACCCCCTGGAGGTGATACTAGCAGTGTAAGCATTGAAGAGAATGCAGGGTATTCCTCCAAATCTCAACCTTCATTTTTCAAACTAGTTCCTAATATGCCTCTTCATTTCTTTTTTTTCTTTTTCTTTTTCTTTTAATCCTCACCCTAGGACATGCTTAAGAGAAAAGGAGGAAGGGAAGGGAAGGGGGGAAGAGGCAGAGAAACATCAATGTGAGACATAAAAATTGATCCGTTGCCTTCTATACGCTCCCTGACTGGGGATCAAGCCCAAAACCCAGGTATGCGCCCTGATCAGGAATCAAACCAGCAACCTTTCGGTGTATGGGATAACGCTCAACCAACTGAGCCACTCACACCAGTCATCTCTTCATTTCTGAAAGCCCCAAGGATTTAGCTCACTTGCTGGCCCACATAATCCAGCTGGCCCTCTAAATTTACCCTTGTCTGAATCTGTATTTACTTAACTTTCCAGATATAGACATGGGCACTGTACTGTGTTGCTACTATTCCTCGTGGTTCCTTGCCATAGCTTCCTTTTTTTTTTTTTTTAATCCTCATCTGAAGATATTTTTCTATTGATTTTCAAAGAGAGAGGGAGAGACAGAGAGAAATATTGATGTGAGAAAAACATGTTCTTCCAATTCCACCCCCCTCACTGGCTCTAAAACAAGCATACAACTCCTTTCCATTTTAATGAATTTTTAGTACTAGTCACTCTAAATCTTTTATATTTTCCAAATGGTATAAGGCCTGCATTCTTTTTTTCTCTCTCTCTTTTTTTTAAAAATATATTTTTATTGACTT